GTGTGTGTGTGTGTGTGTGTGTGTGTGTGTGTGTGTGTGTGTGTGTGTGTGTGTGTGTGTATGTGTGTGTGCCGAGTTTTTCTTGAAAATTCGAAAAAAACTGAATGAAAATAAAAAATTAAAATGACTCAAGAAAAAAGCATTGATGGATGGACATTCGGCACTTTTTTGCATATTAAAATTAGAATGATTAAGATGAATAAAATTAAAAATTCTAAAAGTGATTCATATTTCTTTGTAAACGGAATTAACCAGAGAATTTAGTTTGTTTTCTGATAACAATTGAATCGGTAAGGAAAACTTTTAAAAGGAAAAATTAAATTAAGCAAGAAACAAGCATGGTTGTGACATGGATGCAAGTGGGGAAATTGTTGAAGCCTAGGCTTGAAATAATTTAAACTATTAGCTATAGCACCATGATAATAAAACACGGCAGCCAAATAGACGAAAGGAAAAAGGATGAGAAAAAAAGATTGGTGAAATGTGTTTGCATGTGTGTGAGAAATAGAATGAATGTGCGGTCTAAGAAGAAACTTTTGGGAACAAAAAAAAGAATTTCAGATGGCACTTGAACTCATCAAATTGACTTGCTAATAGCAAACTACTTTGCCATCGAAAAGACAATTTAAATAAATTTTATCTCAACAGTATTTACAAAGCATTCCAATCGGTAATTTAACACTTCGAAAATTTACTTTACGTGAAATTTGAAATGGTGCTCTTTGCCAGTCGAAATTCGATGAAATTGCTGGTAAGAAATCAACTACGCCAAGATGTTTTCTTTTATTTCTTAGAAATTGAAAGTAATCACTGATCAGTGAAAATTTGCAAAAACCAAGAAATATTTTAAAAGTCATCAGTTTCTAAAATTGGGTATAATTTTTCAGTGAATTACAATTTCAAACTGTTAATGAAAAGAGGAAATAAGAACGACAGAATTAAAATAAATCATTTGATTCGATTTCTTGCCATCAGTGGCCAGCTCTTAGATCTGCTAATGCTTACCACCGAAGATCGATAAGATTCTCTGGTCTTCCATGCAATGTAATGTAATGAAAGATTAACACTAACACCAATTGCACCTTTGCCGAATTTTTTAATCGGAGATAAGTTTTTTTTTTCCGTTCAGATCCATCCTCTCTTTCAACACATTCTGGAGAATCGGATAAGTACATTTTTGTTTTATAATATACTACAATTATTGCTTATCGATATTTATTTGAAATTCATAGCCACATATCAGACAGCTGGTATAACAATAGGACATTAGTCTCAACGCCTAATTCTGTGTCCATTTATATGCTTCTTCTTCAGTATGCATATCTTGAATTCAGTAAGTAAATAAAATTAGAATTTTGTATTTTTAAACAAGTAATTTGTTGGACTATTTTTTTTCTTGATAAGAGCTTCCAATTCTAATATATTCTAACTTTCCATCAAATTTTATTTTTTTTTGGAAAGAAAAAATTTTTCAATGGTTTCATCGATCTTTGCTCTATTCATTTAGCATGTCGTCATATAATATTCAAAATTTTCTGATTTATACGAATTCTGTTTTTCTTTTAACTGTCCTCTTATGATATCGCTGTCACATTATAATCAAAACAAAACACGGAGGAATAATTCCAGTGTAGAATTTATTACACATTATGCAGTGTTATTAGACCTTCAATTGAAATTCGGTTGAGAATGCGTGCTATTCAATTCTTACAATTACTCTCCTTAAATATATCGACCAATAACTAATCGTTGAATTCCTTGCATATCGGTATTTTTGGCTTGTTGATTATGTGTTTGCTGCCTTGTGCGTGATCATAGTTGATCATTTGAGTACCTTTTTTTTTTTTTTTTTTCAGTAGAATACTTCGAAACTGGTAATGTTAATTGAAATGCCGGGAACAACTCAAATGGGGAAAAACTCCAATTCCATTCGAACCGAGATAAGGTGGCTTTTCAACAATTCTGTCATTAATTATCTCGTACGAACAGTATGGATGGTTGCCATATTTTCATCATTAATCAATTTTGTACAGGCAAGCCCTAATCATACCGAAGCAGATGCTATCAAAAATTGTGTTGATGGTATGATTATACCTATTTGGTAAGTTTACTTTTCTTTAGTGCGATTTCAAGACATTCATTAGTTCTGATAAGATGACTGGAAACTAAATTGTGCATAAGACAGGAAAATTCAATTATACATGGATCCATCAATTAAGCTTTATGTAATCACTTATTCATAAGCAATGTTAACTACCGTTTAATGGCAAACATGATGATTTGAGGCGAAAAAAAAACATTGAGATTCATTCCATCCTCTGAAATTTTTCCCTAGTATTGGTATGAATAAATAGTTATTATTCGTTATTCATTTTTTAGCAAAAACAAGTAATAATTATAAAAAACAAATCATAAAAAGGATCTATAGGTAGAACTTATGGTTCTTATAAATTCGACAGGGGAAATTTAAAAAGCGGGAACTAACGAAACCAAATATATAATTTAAAGAGAAATTTTTCCAACTTCTCGATTTTTTCAATGTCAAAAAAAAAGGTGGGAACGAATTTTTTGACTTTCCTGTCATTCTGGACCTTATTTTTTGAAGGGAAAAAACTTTGTTGCCCACTGAATGCTTCAAGTGGGAAATTTTAAATCGAAATTCCAATAAAGTGAATGATTTATTTGTAATTTCGGTTACAAAATCAATGCAGAAATTCAGGAAGGAAGAAAAAATACATTGTTGCAGGCGCCCGTTTTTACATCTAAGCATTGGAGATCGTATATTTCGTGGTATAACATTCTTTTTCATCATTGCCTATCTATTTCTAGGCGTATCTATCGTTGCCGATCGTTTCATGTCATCTATTGAAGTTATAACCAGGTGATTGGTAATTTTAAAATTTCGAATTACTGTGAATTGAAATGTAAATTAAATCAACAAAGCTTAACTTCTTTCTTGAAAATATTGTTGAGAAAAGTTTTTTAGCAGAATGCGTTTTGCCTTTAACCAATGGCGAAAAACTTTTCTGAACCTCAGCATTCACTTGTGAATATAAATAAAAAAAGAAAAGCCTTAGAATGATAAACTTCCTCTAAAATTTATAGAAGAAATCATTTAGCATGGAGAGGACAGTACATGTAAAAAGGCCAGGCCTAGAACCATTAGAAATAAAAGTGAGGATATGGAACGATACCGTTAGCAATCTAACGTTAATGGCACTTGGTTAGCAATTTAATTGAACTTACTACTAATTTTTCATTATTTTAAACTTAATTTTCGAAACATACCATTTCTTCTATATTTTTTTTAAAAAATTTTATTCATTCTCCATAAAATTATCAATGGATGATATCAATGGATTTAAAAACAGTTTGAGTCGAATCGCAAATTATTCAAATCGCACAACTTCTTAGTAAGAATTATTTTACTATAATCCTTAATTAAGTTTCAAAATATTACTCATAATCCATTACTAAACTCAAAAGAAGAAGTAGAGGCAGACGCTAATACTTAAAGTAAATCAAGTTGGAGATTTTTTTCGAAATGAAAGTTGAAAATTCAAGATTAGATAAGTAGCAAAGATAAACCTATTGTTTGCTCAGAGTGTTGATGAAGAAGCAAAAGAAGTGCTTTGTGTCGTATATCCTGGATTTGTTTGCATAGCCATTGAGAATATAAAGTAAATTCATCTATTCACACCAGAAAATTCTGAACCTTCATGTTGTGACAACTTCGATAAGGTTTAGATCATATGTGACAATGATATAGTTTTGCAAATAAATAACTGAAAATTGGCTGTAATTTGAAATCAACGATGAAACTAAGGAATACCAGTCAATTGTTTAAGATGATTAATCCGAAAAGCAAGAAACCAAACCTTCAAATTATCATCGATTTTGTGGAAACTGAAATTTTCAAATCCTAAAGCTTCAATCACTTAAGAATTCCATTTTTTTTTTTTATTAATCCGTTTTTTTTTCACTCTTCGTCATTCTTCAAAATTTTCATCGATTATTGATACTTAAGTATATTAATGAGAGACAATGAAACAATTCAAAAGCAACGGCTTAAATTCTTAGCATCACTTTTCACAATAATCAAGAAACTAACCATTATTTTTATTACGGTTCTCAGCAAGCTTTCCATTTCAGGCTCATCTGCACCTGAAATTTTGCTATCAATCATTGAGGTAATTAACCAGGAAAAATCGTATCTTATACGCTGAAAGACAAATTATTCACTTTTTTGCGGAAAAATTCTTTGTCTTTCCAAAATAATTTGCTTCTCTCATGCAACTGCAGTTTAACGAGAAAATGAACTAATAACAAACTTCTGATTGCTCTTCTAATTATATTTAAGCTTAAGATTATGGAAAATGCAGAACTCGGAGCAAAATTTGTGGGATTATTATCACTAGTAAAACGAATGGTCAAGATTTCAGATCTCTTTGACACTAATTACAGACTATTTGTTGGATTCGTTCACTTTCATGCACTGTTTATGGATTTCAGTTCCATTTTTTCTGCTGTTTATGTTACAAAAATACAATTTTAGGTAATAGGAAAAGGCTTCAATGCTGGTGATTTGGGGCCAAATACCATTGTTGGTTCAGCAGCATTTAATTTATTTATGATCATTGCCATATGCGTAATGGCTGTACCAAATGGTGAAGTTCGGCGCCAAAAACATTTGGACGTATTTTGTGTCACCGCAGCTTGGTAAATCTTGTTGATTTTCTAATGAATTTGAAGCTATTGATAAAATCGTGTGAAGTCGAGAATAATTCTGAAATGTCTTATCCAGACTGATAGTTTCAAAAACCTTTCGTGATAATTTATTTAGGTCTTTGTTCGCATACATCTGGATGTATTTGATTTTATCAATATTTTCGCCAGGTATTATCGAAATATGGGAAGGTTTTTTAACATTTTTCTTCTTTCCGATTACAGTATTAACTGCTTATGTAGCTGATATCAAAATCATACAGGTTGGTCTTTTGTGCACTTGTTTCGTAAACTAATTAATAATAATTTCATTGTTTAAATTTCGACAATCGTGATGATTCCGTGATTCTGATGAAACTAAGCAGATTTGAAATTCTATTTTGTATTTTCAAATGCAGAGACGTTTTATACCACATCGTTATCGAAGGACATTACATGGAATTATTTCAACAGAAGGAGAACAAATGGAAATACTAGAAAAAAATGGTTATCTCAAAGTTAGTAGTGTTGGAGGGATTTCTTTCTCCAGTTTACTTCCAGTTTGCTAATTTCACAAGATCTATCACCTTATCACCAATAAGGACTTGTTGTTAGATTCTCTCTTACAACCCTTCACTAACTTCGTACCTTTCATGCAACTTTGTTTTGTAGTAGAAAAGCTTTAAATTTTCCCAGATTTTTTGAAATTTTCCAGTAACTTTTAGGGTAGTAAAATTGATCCAGCTGTAAAAGCATTCGAAGATAACCGAAGAACGTTTATCGAAATTATGCGCGAAATCAGGAAAAAGAATCCACAGATTGATCCAATTGAACTACAAAAGCAGGCCGAATACGAAATGATCAGTCGTGGTCCAAAGTCGCGGGCTTTTTATAGGTAAGCAACTAGCATATATTCAAGAATAATGGAATAATTGAAGTGTAAGAAGAATTTAGCTATGATGAAATGAAGTAGTATAGTACGTAATGACTAGGTCATGGCACTTTCCAACTCTTGAATTTAACTAAGTAAGAAGGTGATAGTGTCAATGTTTCAGAAATGATTAATTACCGCCTTGGTGATGAATATATTAGGGTAATTTAGAGTGCAAGCAACTAGACGATTGATTGGTGGTGGACATGTGATAAGAAAGCAACTTGACAAGGAATATCATAAATGTGCCGTAAGTTCCATTATTTGTTTTTGGAAGAATTAAACTTTAAATCATTAAAAATTTCCGTTTTCAACTTTAAAAATTTCTCAAAATGTTTTTCTCAAGGGATTTATGTAAACAGCTAAGAGTTCATCGAACAGAAATAAAAAAAAGTGAACAAGTGACTATGTTGATAAGTCATTGTCATAGATGTAGGTCTTTTTGAGTACGATGAAGAAGTATTCAACTCTGAATTTTAAGAGATGAACTTTGTTCACTAAAGAACGAACGATGACAAGATGAGTATATGGGAGAAATAGGCGGTGTCCAACAATGCTCTGCGCTTGTTTTCCAAAAATAGGAGATTAGAGATTTGAAATATGATGAAATGAATTGATGGTATGCATGTAACAAATTTTAGTTGATAAATACAATGTTTAGGCAATTCATAAATTTAACTTATTTTGGTGGACATTTGCGCGTTAAATGAATGAATTGAATAATTTCGTAAATAATCTCAGTGAGAAATTCGCAAATATTTGAATTTAAGATTGCTCAAGAACAAGAGAGACAATTACGAGCAAATATCTGCAAAATATTTTTTGATCCAGCTCACTATACGGTGCTTGAAAGTGTGGGGACATTCGATGTTGTGATCGGCCGAGATGGTGGCCCTGAAGGGCTCACAGTTATGGTTGATTATTATACGGAAGATGGTACTGCCAATGCTGGAAATGATTATATTCCGATTAAAGGAACACTAATTTTCCATCCAGAAGATAAAACACAAGTTAATAATTTCATGAGCATATCACTCTTTTCAAATGGACTTGTTAAATTTGATTAAATTAAACATAAAGTTAGTTATATTGGGAACAATAAAAGATCTGCTACGATCACTTTTTATCTCAAAGGTAATTCACTAGAAGACATATATGTTCATAATGAAATTTATAATTAAAAGTTAACACTTAAATTGAAATTTTAAGCATGAAAAGTTGAATTTTGCAGAAAGTGACGATAGAAATTGTGGATGATGATGTTTTTGAAGAAGATGAGCACTTTTATTTGCACTTGAATAATTTAAGAGTGCGTACTAAAGATGGCCTGGTACTGGACCCAGTGAAACTTGGCGGTATACCGCTAGCTACCCTTGAACTTCCTTCCACTGCTACAGTCATGATTCTTGGTTTGTTTCAATTTTTCATTCATCATAAATACTGTTTCTCCTCTGCATCTGCAAAAAAAGTTCTCGTCTAGCCACCTGCCGTCTGTTTGCTCTTCAACTGAAATTTAATATGCAGTCTCAGAATGAATAATTACTAACATTCAAATTTGGCTCTTTCAAAATTATGCTTTATAAGAGAAGGAATTCTGGAAAAATAATATACGAAATGTAACCGAAATTGAAACTTATAGATGACGATCATGCTGGTGTATTCTCCTTCGAGCATGATCATTTCCAAATTGTTGAAAACTGTGGTTACTTATCGCTCAAAATTCAACGAAGTTCAGGATGTCGCGGCAAAGTTATTGTACCGTATAGGTAAGCTTATTTAAATTCTCAAGTCTAGAATAAAATTTCAACAAGTTATCTGTAAAGCACTCATCGTTGTAATGAAACAGGAAGGTAAGTGCTTCGCAAGTAGAGTTCATTCAATTGGCATTTGACTCATTATGTGAAAAAGTGCTTTTAATCTTGAAAATAAATTTGTAGTCTTTTATATATCTTTTAGTCTTATATGTCTTCTGTAGATAGAATGCAAGAATATGATATCGATTGATTTTACTTAAGATGGCATCATAACCCGCACATTTTCAAATTTTTCCAAATTTTCACCAACTTCGAGGAAATTGCGAAAAGAAAAAGGGATAGTCAATTTTTAAACTTTGTATACAAGAAGCATGGAGGAGAAAAAAAAGAAGCTCTGGCAAATATTCTGTTAAATACTTAGAGGGAAAAGTTTAAACACTACTTTTCTTGCATAGAATTTCTCTTCCCAAACGTCGTTTCAATTAGATAGGGAATGTTAGGACAACAGTAATTAATTGCTGAATTATTAAGAACTGAAGAAGAAATAAAACGGATAGGACAAGTGAGAATTAAACTAATCAATTTCAAATAGAGATAGATAAGGATGATCAGCGCAAATGTCTCGAACGACCCATCGATTTCAACATTTTTTTTTCCTATTCATTATGAAATATCTTATTTGAAGTATTGCATGTTACTTAATCTTTGAAGAGGTATTGAGAATTTGTTGCTAGAAGAAGTGCTTCATTATCTTTCATTCCGTTCGTACAACTCTTAACATTTACTGGTTTCTTTTTTAATTTCCACTTTCCATTATTTTTCCACTTGAAAACAACTTGTTTAATACAAGAATACTTCATCATTTTAGCTTTTATACATTTTTTCACATAACTACATTTGTTCTTCTTTATATTTGTTTACATATACATACTGGAGAAAAATATCGATGAACTTGCTGTCTTACTGATCAGTCCAGTGAATAACAATTTTCCAGGACAGTTGATGGTACTGCGTTCCGCGGGAAGCATTATGAGTTCGAAAAAGGTGAAGTTACCTTTGAAGACAACCAGACTGAGTAGGTCAAATTCTTTCATTAAGTATTGCAAATTTCTTTTGCTAAACTTAGTTATATTTTTGTTCTCATCGCTATTTTAAAATTACTCAAATTTTATTAAGTTGAAAGAAATCCTTTTTTTTTCTCAGAGCATTCATTGAGATTGGTGTAATGAACACTGAGCAGTACGAACGGATGGATTACTTTTTTATTGAACTTGATCAGCCGATCTGGGCCAAAAAGATGTCAGGTAACTTCATACCTTTCCTAAGATTATCAGCTATGCATGGATTGTAATTAATCATGCTAATTTGGTAGACAAATGGAATCATAATTATTACATCCTAATGATGCTATCAAGACTATTGCTGTTCTTCTTGTGGGTAAATGTATAATAATGACTTTTTTTTAATAGAAATGATTAAATAATTGCAAATTTCTATTACTAAACTAAATTATATTTTTATTCTTAACGAGTAAGTTCAAAAAGGTAGTAGACATTTTGTGTTTGTGATAAAAGGTCTCTGATAAATGCTTAACGGCGATGATAGCACAAAAAATTGATCACACAATGAGAAAACTTTTACGTAAAACTATTCAATTTAGATTTGCGGGAAGTCCAAGAACGTTTCTTGAAGCGAATAGAAAGAAAGAAAAATGAATCACTGAGAAGCTTGAATAGAAATAGCAAATCATCTGATTATGAAGGTATACTACACGGAACAAGTAGACAAATTTTACATTTAAATAAAAGCCAAGGTCAAAGTTGATTGAAATGAATTCGATGCCTTCTTATTCTTCTTTCCAGTATTATTTTTATTGAAAAAAGTGAGAAGCTAAATGAAATTCCTCAGAATTTAGACGAAAAAACTGAGGAAAGCCGTAAGATCCTTTGAGATTATAACATTATCGAATGTGTGCGCGGTGAAGATCGAATGACCATTTGTAGAAACAAAGAACCTAACCTTTCTTTTAAATTGCCGAATAACCAAAGCCATTTTATAGGTTATCCAGTTATCCTCACTAATACTCTTTGATAAGATTTTTCGTGTTTCGTTTAATTTGAAAAATTTAACTTGGAAAAATGTTAAAATTACCAAGAAATATGCATAAAATATCTTTCCAATTCCTTTTTAATTACCCTTGTATACATTCTTTCAGATAAAACAATACCATTCTCCAGTAATTTCGCTCATACTTTCTCTTCTCCAGATCTTCTTCATTTTCCCAATCTATTCAAACGACGAATGAGTTCTTGGTTGACTGTTGATGGAAATGAAGATCCCTTTCTGACCTTTGATCTCATCTTTAATAACTATTTGCCTTAACACTCTTTTATTCATTTACGTAATTTTAATTAATCACTTTTTTAATTACATCATAATTATCTATAGTACTTCTTTGCCTGAGCAAGAAATAGCAGTGTATTGAACATACCTAATTAGAATTAGAGAAATTAGTCCCATCACATTGCTTTGACCTGCGTGATTATTTTGACCCGCCATTAGCTGAAAAAGATCTCTAAGAGGAGTACCTTATCACCATTAAATTTAATATGATGATCAAAGGTGATCTGAAACTGGGCATGGCAAGTTAGACCAAACAATACTACTTCCTGTTCGTCAAACATTAGGAGGAAAAGTTTATTACCAATGGATAAGACAACACTTTTTTATGTGTGGATTTTCCCTTCCGTTTTATAATTTGCTTAAACTTTCCCTTTATGAATAGTTTAAACCGCACCTTAAACGTGTCATGATTAATTACTAACTGACAATCCTATCTTGTCTCCATTTTAGCTGAGGCTTAACTTGATTTTTTGAGCCCAAGGTGATTTGGCTTATTTCCTGTAGTCTATAATCATCTTTAGAAATTCCCTATTCTTCACCTTAAAGTTTTATATCTTAAAGATATAAAAATCATTTAAGTAGCAAATATGGTTGTCGTTCAAATCACCCTTGTATTTTAAAAAAAGCAAACTAAGCAGCAAACGATGTTTCGATTTGAGTCAGCAATTTTGATACAGAAACCAATTTTGTGGTCATTAACTAAAAAGCTAAATTTAAACTAATTGAATTTAGGAATGAAGTATAGAAAGCCATCAGTTTGCTTGATAAATATTTATATCAGACTTGATAATTCACGTTTTTTCGTACGGAAAGCAAAAATTCCTTAAATTCGAATTTCATATCCTAACTTTACCGTACTTATCATTACGTATCTCCTCCCATATATTTCATCCATGAAAAGAGGAACATTCAAAAGTTTGTAATGAAAGGTACGAACAACTTTCATCAAAAAGGAACAAGTTGACAATAAGTTATTTACATATCGAATGTCATTTTTTTATTCTCCCCTTCAAAAGATATTATGAATTACTCGACGATCTAACTTTGATACTTTTCTCCATTTGATTATCTCTGAAGTGGAATTTTATACTTTCTTATTACCGATGCTTTGAAGTTCACATCTACTCAAACATTTCCAATACGAGATTTAACATACTTCATTGTTCTCGCCGATTACTTTAATGCAAATTTAAATTTTTTTTTTGGAAATTATGTTTTGTCATTGTGACATATTCATTTGTAGATTTCGATGAAAGAGAACGGTTGACAAAAGAGGAGCTTGAAATTGCAGAGTTAGGAAAACCACGTTTAGGCAAATTCAAACGATGTCAAATTACTATCAGGGAAAGCAAGGAATTTCGGGTTGACAGCTTTTCAAACGTTATCAATAAATAAGGATATTTTAGTTGGTAGTTAATATAAATGATAGAATTTGAAATGGTGAAGTTTAGATTTGATGAAAATTTAAATGTATCTTGTTTAAGTGTCCTAATATCAAGAAAGCTAATATCAATGCGGAGATTTCTAACATATTTGAAGTTCATGTCAAAATACATACTTTCAGAGTGTAATCGATCGCATGTTACGGAATGCCAATACATCGTTTATGCTCGGTACCACAAGTTGGCGTGAACAATTTATTGATGCTTTGACTGTTCATGCCGGTATGGTCATTGATTCTCATTTAATCTTTTCCATATAACACGTATTTTTTTATTTTATGGGTACTTAACAATTCAACCTGATTGAAGTTGAACGATTCTTTTTTAAAAAATCGTATACTCAGTTATCTGTGCCATATAATAGTGTGAAAAATGAACTTTTCACTAAAATAAATACAATGGTAGTGAAAGAAATATTTGGTTCTTTCCTTTATAGATTTTGAGGATGACGAAAGCACTGATCAAGAAGAGAAGGGTAAAGCAGAAGGGAAATCGAAACCGATGTTTTTTGATTATTTCAGGCATTTCTTGTCTCTACCATGGAAATTATTGTTTGCAACTATACCGCCAACAGATGAGTGTCGTTCGTATCTTTTTTATTTTGTTATAAAATCCTTGTGCTTTTAAATAGGAATAAAAATGAATTTCAGATTACTGGAATGGCTGGGCTGGTTTCATCGTATCGATCTTTTTAATCGGTGCGCTGACAGCCGTTATTGGTGATTTGGCATCACATTTTGGATGTTGGGTTGGTCTGAAGGATGCTGTTACGGCTATTTCGTTTGTTGCGCTTGGTACCTCCATTCCAGGTCATTTGGTTTCTCATAGATTTGTTTGACAAAGCTTTTCAGTGGACACTTTATTAAAGTCACCAAGTGGAAGAGGTGAATAAGTAGCTTCTCAGAGGTTATGCAACATTTTTTGATCTGATACTTCTCGAGCAGAACTATGAAGATCAAAAACGTTGCTATTTGGTACGATTTTGAAAAAATGATTGGGAAGAGAATTAACTTGGGATTAGTTGCCTAAATTGCCCGAATAAAAAACTTTTAGATACATTTGCATCTAAAGTAGCAGCAGTCCAAGATAAATACGCAGACTCGTCAATTGGTAATGTTACCGGCTCAAATGGTGTCAATGTATTTCTAGGAATAGGTTCGTTAATTCTGTTATCTTTCGATTTCACTTATCATTCCAATAAATATTTGCTAGTATTTCCACAGAAACTTTTTTTTTTAAGAACACAACTTGGTGATAAAATCTTTTCCTCAGGAATAGCATGGACGATAGCAGCAGTTTATCACTGGTGGCATGGTGATAATTTCTATGTTGAGCCGGGAACACTTGCATTTTCCGTGACAATATTTTGCATCGAGGCATTGATATGCATCGCAGTGATTGTAATAAGGCGACGTCCTCCTATTGGAGGTGAACTGGGTGGACCTATGAAGTATAAGGTTAAAATACCAATAATCCTTATTTAAGTAATCAAATTTAGTTAATCACTTGGAGCTTTAAAAAAATAAGACGGATCACCACTATTATCCAGTTCAACACACCCCGACAATTAAATGGATGGTTCAGGAAGAAGTGATTATGCATCTCAAAACATCTGAATGTTCACTAGTAAGCTTGTTAAGTAAGCAGCTGAACTTTGAAATGAAATCCCACTTGAAATTTCAAGTCATTACGAATATGCACTTATAGAACAAACATTGCTAGCTTAAGTAAAATATATATGCTACCTTTCCCATAATGCTAACGTTACGTACGAATAGCGTAGAATTTGCTATTGCAAATTTTTCTCAAACTTCTTAGTGAATTTCTGATTTTCAGGTGTTAACATCAGGTTTGTTCGTTATTCTTTGGTTTACATACCTCGGTCTCTCTGCACTCGAATCATATCACGTCATCTCTGGTTTCTAGAGTAATTCTAGCACAGCCTATAGTTTTACACGTCGTTGTTCCTTCTAAACTAATTAGATTTCGCTTGTCTAAATTGTTATCTCTACAATTTTTGGCAATTGTATTTTTTGAAAATTAAAAATTTTCTCTTTTCGATTCTCGTTTATTATTCTTATTCGTGCGTTGGCTTTAGGACAAATAATAATAATAGTTATCATCATCATTATTATTGATTCTTATTGTAATACTGATATGATGCAATCGTTTTAACAGTATAGTAGTTATACATTGTGATAAATGTTCTTCCTATTGTTTTATCTTATCATCCATCTACTTACAAAATTTCCTATGAACATGTAGATGAGTTTCATTTCTTCCTAACAATTATAATTTGCTTATCCAACCATATTTCTTTTTCGGAGATTGAAAATTTTCTCTCTTTGATTTCCATATTTCACCTCATATACGCATCAGTTTTTTTGTCGCATCCATACTGTCTACATAAAATGCAACCTGTGAGAAAGAAATACATGTGTTGCAGGTAAGCGGAGATTATATGAAATCCTAGAAATGCATGCACGCTAAAAATAATAGCTTATATTTACATCACCAAGAGTAACTATTACAAGATGAAGTTTATGTAGATTGAATTTCTCTCAGTAGCCTTTGTTAGGATTCTGACATATCAACACTTGGAGACACTTCAAAGAGAAGCTTCCTAATGTTCGCTGTAGCTCACTAAAATACGAAGTAAGATCTAGCTTCTTTGTTATTTAAAAGTGACACTAGCAGTGTCAACTACTACCTGTAGTCTTCCTCAGTACTCCGAGTAGACTATGTTAATGGAATATTTCAAGAAGTGAAATTACACAAGAAAAAAGATTATAACACAAATGAGATTTGAAGGGATCAATGGAATTCAATGGAAATGCTTTGTAGCTCAACATGTAACTGGAGTTTACTACGAAATTTGAATTTGCTGTAGTTGTAATCAGTGAGCGCTCTTCTGTTTATATCTTTGATTGAACTGAAATGAGGATTTATTGAGAATGAGTGGTCAGGTAAATGTGTCCAAAATCATACCAGAATTAAGGAAGAAGCCTTCAGAAGTTTCTACTAAGCTAAGATATTGCAACGAATCAAACAAACTATGGCTTTTTTTAAGTCAATCAAAAGGAGTTTACAGCAGTCACTGATGTAACTGCATTGCTACGATAAAAAACGCCAAGTCACACAACCGGATATTCCAGTCCTGATGTTTTGGTCATACAGTATGAACTATATATTTCCAGTTTTCTCTTGCCGAGTTGATCAAACTGAGCTATGTTCTCCCTTTTTGTAGTCAATAAATTTCAGAGTTTGTTCCTCTCCTGCTCCATCAACTTAAATTGATCTCTTCTTTCTTTTTTCTCCCAAAAAAAGTGCCGCCGGTTATATGAAGGTGAGTTACCGGATGAAGATCAGTCCGGAAAATGATAAATCCAGCCAAAGCACTGTAGTTAACATTTTTAAGACGTTCAGCAGCATCACGAATTACTCCGCAAGGCAGTTGAACCAGCAGTTTCTGAAAATTCTTTCTATAATTAATCATCACTATCGCTGTTTCTTGATGTATGTTAGTTGGTTGAGTGACCAATGTGTCCACAAAATGAGTAACCATTCCAACAAACAGAAGATACTTGCTTAGGATGAAAGTAATTACTAGCTGAAATGAAGGTATGGTATATGGAAGCAATACAAAAATAACATCGTATATTTCAAATGATTATAGGAACTAATTGTTTAGGATTAATTGGTGACGTCAGCAATAGAGAAATACTGAAGACGCTAAAATATTCAATATAATGTTAATCAATGCAAGATGTTAATGAAGATAATTGGATATGAAAAATTGATTATTTGAATCTTTCAAACTATTCAGATATACTAATATTCCAGTTCAAAAGTATGAGATATTGGGAAGACATATAAATATCTACAATTGTGTTAGAGATTCCCGAAAGCAATCTAGGCTTCGGATTAAACAGAAGAGAATAAGGAGTTTATTTTAAAAAATCAGATTTTGAATCATTTCACTTTAGAGTACTTTTCTAGCTCAATATATTAAGGTTCAATTGATCAGGTTTATAAAACTATTAGTTCCTTAGTAGACTATGAAAAATAAAACACCAACATCAGGCAGTTGTTTCAGTTGATCATATACAGGATCATCAACCAGTCCTGAAGGACTATTACCGATTTCATTGTTATTGTCTGATTGTTTTGGGTGTTTTGGGCTTGCTTGAATTGGCAGCCGACTGGACTGTAACTGAAATCATCTCCAGTGTCCATCAAATTTTAAATTTCGAAGGATAAGGAAAGCCACAAAATGAATGGAATGAAAATATTGTGAATTTTTTTGTGCAATAAAGAATAAGCAAGGAGGAAGGGATTGGATGGCTTAAATTAAAAATAAAAAAATAGAAATTCTAAGAAATTCTTTGACGGGAAAACAAAAAATGCTATTTGAAATATCAATGTAAAATTCCCACTACGAAATCCGGTCTCAGGCATTTAATCCGGATATGAGAGTAGTAATATCTCAGAGACGGGTTTCGGAAGCATAATTGCGATTTATTATATAATCTTGGTGGTATTATAGTAATTTCAAAACACTATCAGTCTCAAAAATTTCCTCATTATATTGCCAGTAATTTTATGTAACTGGATGGTTCTCTGTAAAATGGCTGAAAATACGATGGGATCATGATGAAATACAAAATTTGAACTATTAACCTCAGTACTAGTGACGACTACATCCTCTTGTTCTGGTACCATGGAATTGATTCTCTTGACATGAGTAATTGTATGCTTGCGGACTGGTCTCCTGCAAAAAAATCTTGCAATACAAAACTTACTTCTTCATTTGTAAGTGGCCATGTTATTTCAACCTTCCAATTAATACATGAAAAATAAAAAAAATTAAATTCTATGTGATAAGATTTACCTGTGCTTCTCGCTAATTGTTTGCAAGGTAAGCCGTATCGCTTCACGTGCGGCTAAAAAAAGTAATTTGAAAAGAATGGAAAACTGTGTCACATCACCAAAACAGTCACGTCAAATGTGTATTTTACTCATACATTACTCCGCTTAAATAGTACAACGTCAGTAATTCTTCCTATCCTCTCATCTCAACCTCGCTACTATTCAAAATTGTCACTTTTAAGCTGCAATAAAATTTTATCTAATATTTTTGCAGTTATAATGCATGATTTGAATAGTTGATATGCAAATTTATCTTGGCATTAATAAAAATTTACTTCAACATTTTTGTAACCGAAAAAAAAGGAAAAGCCTACCTTTTGCAGCCTTTCGTTTGCGCCGCATTGTCATATCGCTGCGTTGAACTAATTTCCTGAACTTTGGAATCATATAAATTGAAACATTCCAACCTGTTGACAAGGATAAAGATTAAAGAAAATCCTTTATTTGAGATGAAAGGGACTATGGGATAACTTGGGACATTCCTATCTATGTGTGAGACTAAACTTTACAGGGAGTTCATGAAAAGAGATCAAACAGTGCACTGGATAATTATCAGAAAAAATATACATTGGCGCATTACTGTAGATTAAATACTAGCGCCAACTTGCCGTATTGATTACAAAATGCAGGGAGTGCAAAACAGCCTTAATTCTTTGATTTTGCCTCAATTATTTACCGAAGATTAATAAAAAGTACTTCTGGTGGAAGTACCACAAATTTCAAAATTTCGTTCCAATGAAACAGGATGATATAAAGATTAAAATACGGAAGACTGATTAAAGAATCAGTGCTGAAAAGACTGCGGGAACAACTAACTCAAATGAGTACCTGGCGTTCAGTTTTACAAAATCAAATGCTTTAAAAAAGAATTCGTTGCAGTCTTGAGATAAACAAAGTTTAAAAAGCACACCGATAGATATTTAAAATGAAATGAAATCTTGATGAACTATAAATGATTTTATATTGGTGAAAAGAAAGTCGCATTCAAAAACTTTTCAGTGCACAAATAAAATGACCGAGTCGTGGCGTTGTTGTCACCTCATCTCAGCACCAGCAGAATGAAGTGATTTCGCATTGTACCACTCCACTTTCTTCATCGCTTAAAAAAATCAAGTTAGATTCAAGCATTTGCTGTAATTTGATTGAATTAGTGGCAATCTATGATAGGTAAGAATTTCGTATTGTTTTTTAAACTTATTTATCTTAAATGGCTGAAAAAAATTAATTGGAACTAATACATTAAAGTGATTCATTTAATTCTAACTTGATTTTATCAATTACAATTCCTAAAGAATTATAAGAATAAAATGCGAATGATACTGTAATAACAGATGAACAGTTATTCATTTGCTGCAAAGAAGCATAAAGGCTACAGGAGATATTTGGTAAATTCTCAACAACGGACCGTAATAAACGAAAATGAAGATGAGATAACCTCCAATTAGGAATCCTTTGAACTAAGTAAGGTAATGGTAGTAAGTGACAATAAAATAATTGACGGAACAATGAAGAATAGAGACGATTATTTAATCGTCTAAATATAAATAGAAATAAATGCCAACTAATTTTAAAAATTAAAGTCGACAAGAAAAGGAATGTTTGATAAACAACTGTGATATTAGACTTATAATAACTTATAATAATTATAAAATTTGAATCGAATATGTTTCCGAATATTTCTATGAATTTACTATGAATAACTTTTTTTGATAATTTACAATTTTAAATGACTTAGTTGAAAAGTAATGAAATTTTGAGAGTGATTTGAAGATTTTTAAATTACTGTACTTTTCAGCATTTTGACATAAAGAAACACGATTTCCTGAAAGAATTAGCTCAAGGTGAATTTTTTGACAGATTATTTCAGTGGCATAAGATTAGAAGGCTTTCTTGAGAACAATGATAATATTAAGGAAATGATCCGAAATGTCAATATTTCACTACCTTTAAAGACAACTAATATGCCTTCAAAGTGGAAGAACTATAATCTTGATCTTTTGATATTCCATTTAGTTTTAGATATTGGCTGATCCCTTATTACAATGTTTTCGAACTCTGACAGTGCATTTACTTCTTACCAATCAAAATTGCGTAGATTTCTAGCTTTTGCTCTTTGCATAGCAAAGCTTTGCAAGTAAAAAAGTTGCTAAAGTCATATTGTTACAAGCACTAGGCTCCTATTCTCCTGGACTGAAATATGAATTGATCGTAAAAAATGAGTACATTACGAACGGTAAAGTTTTGATGAGTTTTCTACCGTAACGAAATGGCTGAAAAGGGAAAACAATCAGTGTTAAAAGAAGTGGTAACATAGCGGTGTAATGTAATATAATGTAGAGGTTAAACCAAGAACTGGCCAAATGGTTGGAAGATGCCAAATTTCATACTGTGCCTTGTAAGAGATTTGGTCGAGAGATAAGATTGTATTTACTTTCAAAAAGTGTTCTATTGAATCCCAACACTGTTAAGCATATCCTTTAGACTTACGCATTTGGCTTATTTGCATTTTCGGTAATGTGCTAATTAGATGAAATTTTCTTTTATTCAACGATTTAAAAATTATAATCATTTTTTAGAAAGCACTTGCATTTGACTGTAATAATCTTGTTGGAAAGAATTATTATAATTTACCGGAATTGTTGCAATTAATTCCTGTCAGGAATTATAATCCTATTGAAATTCTGTTGATAGTGTTGGTACACGACTCCAACGAATCTTGCAGTGGAATATTAGTCATGGGAGAAGTGTTCATAACTGTATAATAAGATAAATTTATAAAAAAAGATTTCATGTTGAAAAACTGAAATTCAAGCACCTCCTTCATAGTTAAGATACTTCTCACAAGCATTTCTTTTATATTCCAACTACGACAGCTGTAATGATTAACTCCGAACTGACTAAAAACAAATAAGGGCGATAAGTTAGTGACAAGTCACAATACACTGGCAGCCATAATCAAGGCGAGATGGTGTGCAAATGTAAATTTGCTGAACTCAAAGTTCAATTTCAACGACTGAATAGTAAGAACGTACATGTGGTGTCATCATGTCGCCCTTATTTGTTTTTCTCCTATACATAATCATTGCTCCCCAGAACTTCCGGCCAGAAGTACCGCATCTTCCTTCATTCATCAATTGATTTAATCAAAGCAAGCATATGCTTGCTGTACATATTCAATAACTAATAAAATAACCTATTTTTACATCTGTTACCAACCTTGATTTCATAAGCAACAAATTAATGACAACTGCAAACTTCGGAATGTGATTTACGAAAAACCGAAACTTGTTTTCGGACTTGTTTTTCCACAAAAGTTCTAGGCCTAAAATTTCACGACCGTTGATTCATAGTAATTAAAGTTCACGTTTAATTCTGTGCACATTTTACACCCGAATTTTTGCATAGAAAAGCTTAAGCATTATTTTATTCGCCAAAAATTCGAAGAAAGCAAATCAACAAAAATCAAAACAATGACGGTTAAAACGATAGGCATTTTAATTTTAAGTATGAATTTCAGAAAACCAGATTCCCATTGTTTAACAAATAGATAAAACTGAATTACAATTAATAAAAAGAAGGAAACTGGTTGGCTTATAAGCATAAAATCAGATTGCTTTTGTTTTCTTTTATTGCATGGAGCACAACTTTTTTGATTAAGTAATCTCAGTGGCATTCCAAATAATATCTTGACAAAGACACTCTACATATCAGGTAACTGACCACCACCTGCTGAACGAGGATTTTTGACCGTTTGATCAATACTTAAAACAAGACATGCTGCTTCAGTTGCCGCTGTCAGCGCATTCTGAAAATGATGCTTAGCGACTGATAATTTGCAGACAAAAAAAAGAAAATGAATAACAAAATTTAAGCATTGCACAGGAATAGCGGTCCAAACTTTCCATATAGCCAGTCCACAAACTAGGTGCTGGGAACTGAAAATTTGTTTATCTTAAAATTCTTGTTTTTGCTACCTTGAAACTAGTTGTATCTTACAAACTGATCTAAGTTTATAATATGTATGTCCAACTGTTGTCCTCAGTCACTGTCCCAAAAAGAAAGTGAAACAGGTAAGCTAAATTTCCTAATGAAAACACAGAAGAAAACAAACTAGTTTCACAATAGCTGGTTCCCAAATACATGCTTCCATATTGTCACTGACATCTTCCGCGTAAATATCGATTCCTGCCCACTTATCTCCCTTGGCATGTCGGTGTCGCAATCGATTCAGTATATCCGTAGCGTCTATGCCTGCGTTGTAACATAATTGCTTTGGAATTATCTGAAACATGTCAAGACAAATTGTCATTTTTTTTTCTAAAATTACATAGGTTATTATACACTACTAGCACTAACTAATTAATTAGCATAAACATTACCAAGATACAGAAAGAAATTTCGACATAAATCACATCGTACAGAAATGAAAACGCCAAGCATTTAAGATTTTGAAGTTTACCCATTCAAATGGAGAATGAAATATCATAAAATTGAATGGGAACAAAAAAATAACGAACAAGTAAATCAAATAAAATAAATGGGAAGTTTGGTTCCTCCACTATCTCATGATAAAACTTGAGTGAAAGAAAAAAACCAAACAAAACGAAACCTCTAAAGTCTTGGCGAATGCTTGCCAAAAGAACTGTTCTTTACCCGCGATAGTTCTAGAAATATCTCTAATATGTCGCGAAAGTTCCATTTCAATAGCGCCACCACCTGAAGTTGAATATGCAGTGTAATTGCAGTGTTTTTCACACAGAAACTTCAGCAGCATATCTTACTTAATTGCATGCAAAAGAAAGATAAGTGTATACCAGTACTTAATACTGGAAAAAAGTTTGTTAAGTAACGAAAATTAAAAATTTGAGCAGTACAGGAAGTTTGCCGTACATGAAGAAATGCTTCTTTCGATGGTCGATGAGCACAGTTTTAGTAAAATAGCAGTGGTGTTACTTTTTTCTACTAAGTAAATGAAACTACAGAAAAGCTAATTAAATAAAACAAATCATATAGTCTAAACCATATAAAATTCAAAATAACACAAAAAAAAAAAACCTGCAACAATTGTATCGTTTTTTTTGCGCGTCGTACAATCATGATTGCATCGTGTAAAGAACGTTCCGTTTCTGCGATGAATTGCTCTGCACTACCACGCAAAATCACGGTGCAAGACTTAGCTTTTGTACAGTCCAGGAAAAAGTTATATCTGAAATGGAAGAAATTTAAAAAAAAATAAAACGGTGAACCAATGCAAAAATGCTGAAGAAATCAATTCGAATATGGCAACAAAGCATGGAAATACTTCGCAATCCAAAGAAACATAATTCTACTTAACGTTATCATCAGTAGTAGTTAAAACCAGTAGTGAAAAATCCTATTAATTTCTGAATAAGTGCAATCACAGCAAAATTAGAAATGAAATACCGTTCGCTTCCCACTTGTTGTTCGTAAAATTTACCACAACTACCAAGAAGTTCCTTACTGATCTGACTTACGGTTGTGAGCATAGTACCACCACATGCTGCAATTAGTCTATCCATATCGGCCTGTTCGACACGTCCCGCACAGAACATATCTCTATAAGAGGTTTTGAAAGAATTAAGCAGAAATTAAAATGATGTAGTAGGAATTATTGTACAGATATATAGACCAGAATGGATGAGAAAAAACTAAAAATAAGTTCAGTTAGTTCAAGTCTAGTGTCATTCCTAAACTACAAAGGCATAAATTATACTGAAAGAAGCTATTTATGAATAGAAAGTGAGTTTACGAGGTAGGGAACTGAAGTAAGAATTCTTACAGCTGAAACTAAAAATACCGCTTAATCGCAATACCTGTCAGCAAACCACTGCGTCGCTACATCTCCAATTGGCAATTTCGAAAGTACTACTTTCGCTCCAGACTCATGAATTTTCTTTAGCTTATCGTATAAAATTGTCCACTCAGCATCAACAATCTGAAAAATGAAGGTTTAAAATAACATTGGTATTATAATAAATCACCACTTGAAGCTTGTATGACGGGACTTTAATTAGCATCAGTAAGAAAACAGTTTCTCAATTATAGGTGGAACCTTTACAGAAATAAATACCTTTTGATATTCATCCACACTTTGAATTCTCATTTCAGCATTGTCTTTTTCTGCCTTGAGCTCCAATTCAATATTAAGTAGAGCAACAAAAGGATTTTCATAATGTTTTGGCTGCATTTCAAAGCCTGCATAACTGAATGCTTTCTTGAATGCGATGCCCTTAACAAGCTGGGAATCCTGAAAAACTTATGTTGGCGTGTCAAATGGCGCAAAAGTTCATAAAGGCAAGAGAATCAGTTCTTCAGGAAAACACATACCGAAAGAGATCCACCGCTAACTTTCTTAATCCCTATCATATTTGATGACAGGTTTTCATCCAAATATGAGACGGCATCGACAGCCATTTCAGCGAAGAATTCTCGTTCTTGACTTATCTTGAATTTTAATAAAGTGAATGTAAGTAATCCAAAGAAAACATATCGCAAGTTCACAAAGATGGCGCAGATTTACTGCAAATTTTGAATGAGTCAAAAACATCAAAATATAAGTTAAGAGAACTAAGTCTCACGGTGCCTGAAAGTAAACGGTGCAATTCAAATATAAACGTCATTTGCCTCTGCTAATCTTGTGTATGATCGTATGCGACGCCGCACACATCTTTGATAATATAAAACTGGAACAATAAGGACTGGAAAAAATCCTAACGATCAATTAGTTTATCCATTTATCTACTTTCAGCTATTAAGGCAGTGATCCTGATCAAAGATCGTTGGAAACTTGAACTGCTATATGAATAAAGAGGCAAAAATACCACAAATATACGAATAGCATAAAACACACCAATTTACTACTGAGACAAGTAGTGGCGCATCGGCTCAGCATTTCACGCATATTAGCATCACCATTGACTTTTTCAGCCAGTTGTTTAAGCCGACTGACTGCCTTAAATTACAAATTACTTAAGAAAGTTTCCCTTACGCTGCATCCATTTTAATAATCTTATAATGCAATCAAACAATACTAGTAAGCTATTTCAAGGTATCCGAATCGGCTAAGACAACAATCTACCAGGTAGCAGCTGATTCCGTAAAAGAAAGAAATCAAAAAGTCTATTACGCTAAAAGTTAAAATCCTGCCACTTCAGAATCATAAATAGTTGCATTTGATAATCTACTCTGTCATTTCGATACTGCATTGCAATAGTCAAAAACAGGTAAACCTCTTCACAAGCCTTTGAATAAGATCGAATTATTAGCTGTGGGCTAACGCCATCTTCAATGAAAGGTTTTGAACGCTTCAAGAGCTCCGCTGCTAGTATCACAACTGAAAAAAATGAAATAATTAAAAGATTAACATTCAACTGATATAAACATACGGTAAAGGCCTTGGTGATCAGGTTCCATTTTTTTAGATCGTACTTACCTGAAGTAGTGCCATCGCCAACCTCAGCATCCTGACTTTTCGCTATATCCACCATAACTTTGGCAGCCGGAAAAACAACATCCAGTAATTTCAGAATGGTTGCTCCATCGTTTGAGATCGTTGTTTTACCTAAGGCCCACTTATTAGAAGAGAATGTGAAAAAGCGGAAATCTTTAGTTGGCTATACTAACGCACATCAAACAACAAGTTTTCGACCAAGTCTCAACATTAGTCAACTAAACATTAAAATCTGTACATTTGGAAAAACGCGGTGTGCTGTATTGCAAAAGATTACCTTTGGAATCGATGATTAGTTTATCCATGCCACGGGGCCCCAGAGTGGTACGAACACTATCGGCGATCACATTGCATGCACTGATATTACTAACTATCTGTTGCTTACCAAATTTTGCTTCTGTTCCCTCTTTCAGCAGAATTATTGGCGCGTTCATCATCATTTGATAATTACAGCGACAAAGATTTTTTAAGAATGAAAACCTGCAGTACGAAAAGAACGTTACCACTCTTTTCTACTTGAAATTATTTTCAAAAATAACTGATACCGGAGAAAAAAAGCATCAGGTTAAACTGGATGTTCTTTAACAAGAGAAACACTATTCGCTGAACGAGAATGAAATGCTATTTCCTTGCAAAGACTAGTGGGAAAAAGAGAAAAAATAAGATAGCACCTGTGTACGCCCACTTTTGCTGTGCAACTTTAGCGACTAGCAAAAAATTCAAAGTTCAAGTATTTATTGGCTTTAACACTATGCAGTTGAAGGGTTACAAGAAGTCCTAGTCATCAACAAACATCAATAATACTGATTAGTTAGGATATTAATTTGTGATGCCCCTAATTTACAGAAAGATGTACGTCACCCTTTCTTATATCAAATTCAAAATATTGGTGATCTCTGAAATATTGAGTACCTTATCGACATCACCCTTCATCCCACAACCTCCTGAGTACAAATTCCCTCGTAACATAGATCCATGGCATCATATTACAAATAACAGATTCTAAGCCCAGATAAAAGAATTACAATATCAACCACCACTTCGTTTCATATTTCTTAATAGAGTGACGGTAACCGCCTAGATCCCCAGGAAAATCACCTTAACCAACAAGCAGTACACTCTTCATGGCCTGCTATAGCTTCAAGTTTCACAATATATTTGCTTTAACAAGAAGTACTACTGAAGCAGTTCATAACTGTTCGGACTTTTATACAACTTGATTAGATATTTTATTATTACTAATCGAAATAAACTATGTTTGGATTCAACTTAAGCGTTAAAGAAGAGGACTTAAATTCAGTTTTCCAACCAAATAAAAAAGTTTTAAGAGCGAAATATTTCTTTTCTTATACAAACACATTCAGCACACAGTGATATACAAAGCATATGCGCATGAGTAGTGATCTCTGTGCACATATATGAGAGGAAGAACTGAAGAGTGATAAGTGCGACAAAGTGACATATACTAAATGAATTTTGTTGGAATGATAAATTTGAAACTATAAAGCGGAATGAAGGACTGCAGAGATACAAAGAAAAAAGAGAGATAAATCAAGTTTGTGAACTTGGAAAAATATTTGAATTCATAAGAAATCCTTCAAATTAAATGTAATGGGCTGCAATTCAAGTTATCTTCGATGTTCAAGATAACTAATTAGGAAGGGAACATGAACGCTTGGTTCACTTGATTCCTTAACGAAAAGGTTTACTTAATTTCTAAAATATCCCTATTCTCTTTACTTTCTAAAAATATCCATACTATTTTTCTCTCTACACAGTTGATTCCATTTAACAAATGAGTGACAATCCTCAAAATAGGGCAACCTATCAACGCAGGAAGCTTCAACTACAGTTCCCAAAACATTTGTAATTTATGTAATGAAAGGAATGGTGAAAGTCGCATTTCTAACTTTAAGCAACCAATGAATTCTTTCCCATGTCTTGATCAGTAACCCATTTTTTTCACTTATTGCTGATTTAGAAGATTCATTCAGCTATTTCACCTAGTCATTACTGCGACATCTTTCTGGATTCTCAACACGAGTAACAAATATAAATCGTGTTCTAAAAGTTACGAAAAAACGGAAGCTCTTCGTGCAAATAGCCATAATTACAGAGCACTAGAATCTCATTTCTCTCCAAGATTTTAGACGAGAGGATTTAATGGCCACCTGACTCAAGCAGCAACCATAAATCCAATTTCACCTTCATTAATGATAAAGCAAATAAATATCAACATAAAACAACGAGGCCAATATCCATTTCGATCACATACATCATTCCAATCGACAATTGTAGCGAACGGTAACCATTAATTGTCACGGTATTTCTCACTCAACTTCGACAAAAGCTCCTTATGAGCGATTTCGGAATCATCCGAGACCTTGAAATAATTTTTCATAGGCTGCAGAAATCATTGCAAAATCGTAGTAAGATTTTGGAAGAGCCATTTCTCCGATACAACGTAATATCTTATAGGTAGTAAGAAAGAAAAAAAAAATTTAATACCAAAAATTGTTGACTTCCATTGTCTTGTCAACAGTTACTAACAGTTAACGAAGCTAGAGAAAAAACACGCAAAATTACTTACTTGGAACTGCAGAATTTTAGCAGTTCCTAACGAAGACTTGATTGCAGATGCGGACGAAGCGTAAACCATTTTCTTTTTGATTGGTGCACCGTCAGGACATAGCTACAAATTAAACGAATCCCAATAGAAACTTGTTGATTCCTATCATGCTTTGGGATGATATGGGAAAAATTGGATGGTTTGTAGAATTCTAATTTAGAGTTTTAAACTTGCGAATCTCAGAACGTGAAAAAAGGGATCACAAACGTGAAACTCTAAAAAAAATTACATTTTACATGTACGCATTCTTTCAGTGCATACATGTGAAAAATATTTATAGCTTAAACTGCAGACAACCTGTATGAAAACAATTTTGTCCATTTTCGAAGTACCGGCGCCGGGTCGATTGCATGAAAACTTGAAATCGAAAACAGCATAACGGCAATCTTTGAAACCATTCGTCCGCTCCCTTAAATCTTGCACAAATGCTTCGTATGCAGTTTTGGAATTTTCGTCATGATCATCATCTGTTACGCCAAGCTACAAAAAGGGAACTTATTAAAATCAGATTTTAGAGAGTTATTAATGGTTAAACAAACCTTTTCGGAAATTACTTAACGTTATTAGCGCTTAAATCACTAAATTATATATTACGCTTAAATTGAGAATCGCCAAGAAGGAACCTCAATCTCATCTTATTGTAGCACATAGTCCACGTGGCTATGCTAATAACACCGACTGAATTATTTAGTTTTTTTCTCTTTTACTTTTTTCTTCCTTTTTCAAAACTGTTTTCGAGTTTTATGTATATCCTTCGTTCAGAGTTAGCTAAATTTCAAAAACAGCAAAATTTACCTCATCTGGTGAGACAGCTGCCTCCACCACAACTTCTTTATCTTCGATTTTATAAATGATATAGCGCAGTTTGTGATGCTTTCCTTCCGAAAGCTGCTGGAATACGGTTTGGCATTCTGAATTGACCAAGACACCCGAGGACATTCTATGTCTGTGCACCTGAAAGCGGACGAAATCTCATAATATTCCACGACTCCAATAATGTCATACGCACAATGAGCGCACCCAAAAACGACGAACTCAACGACTAATTGCTATCCCATATTCAAAAAACTCAAATTAATGACCAGAGCGCGGCCCGTCAATATGCAAAAAAGCGATCTCTTCCTTCTCTTAGATTTCTTGTGAAAATCAATTTTAGCTGGCCCGGGATTTAATTTCTTACCATCAAATGTTAGGGATATAAAAGTTTGGGAAAGTTCGTGGCATGAAAGTATTGCCAGTTATAGTCGAGATTATATCCTGTTATCGGGTTCATCTAGCCTTGACCTGGGCATCTGGCGAGCGATATACAGCCTTCCAACAAGTTTTTTTTGCGAAGCCGCGGGAGAGACCGCGCTCTCCCCTGCCGTTTTTTCCTTTCCTTAAATCAAAACCCTCTGTTGTTAAAGTCCGTTGATCTTTAATCACGAGTCCATCATCCCAACAATAAATAATGATGTAATTAGGTCCTCCACATTTTCAGTGAATCCATTACAATGTTTCATTTACTGTTTTTTATGAAGGGATAATATATGTATATATGTACGTATACGGATACGGTAGTGGGTAGAGTGAGTCAAGTATAGTAATCCGGTCCTCGAAAACCATTCCGATTTCCCATATGGCCCCTTGGAAAAATTAATTGCTTAGCACTGATGTGGCCGATGAGATCTTAGTATCTGGATCGATTTTATCACCATCCACCAATAAGTAGCACTGTGATACCGATTCATTTCTAATGTTATTATTTAGGAAATCCTACTTAAATATATGGAAGTTTTCGCAAAACTTTCTTTACGCAAGTTTTACCTGAGTCGTTGTGGTTTCTATGCAGAATACTTCCTCCGTAAGCATAAGGCAAAAGGAAAGCAAACTCTTGTTATATCGGGAGACATGTACTTTACTGCATTAGACATAAAGGGAGAATTAAATATAAACTGCGTGAAAAAAAATGGATGGACGATTCATTTAAATTCCGAAAAAGTAGATCTAGAAACTGAAAAAAATTTCCTGTGACGTCATTTTCGTGAAAATGTTTTACATGTAATACTCATGGCGATACCTTAACACGTTTCACAATCAACCGCTCAGATGTAACATTTCGTTTGAGTTTCAGAAGTTAAGGTTTTTTTTAGAAGTTTTGTCGTCTTCTTGGCTTGTTGGATGGTTTAACTTTGCAAACTCTGTTGGTGATCAGAGGCTATTTGCATTATGTTCGCATGAAATTTGGAATTTCACTGAATGGAGGACGGTCAATCCCCTCAACTAATAGCTTCCAGAAGGATTCTGTCCAATTTAATTAAACAGGTGAAATTAATTCTGGAAATGCTGAAACGTAATTTTCAAAGGATTTGCAGCATGCGGTTAATTTGCAAAGCCTTGAATAATAGGTATAAAACAAAATTATTAACTCGAAAGATACTGCTTTTGTCAAGGTACCCTTCCGTGCTCTTTGGATCTCTGCCCATCTTTTGGAATACAGATTATTACTATTCAACGATCTTTCGTTTACAGCTATGTTTAATGCAATATGGCATGAAGTATAGACATTCAAAATTTTTATTTGATATCGCTTCCCAAAGCTGTCTAATTTAGTACCTTTTTAATGTTTCACGATGAAGCTCAGTTTTATTGCTTTCAGTTCGATTTCAATGGACGAGTACTGAATGAAGGTAAACTCAAAGAATTAAAACAGATTCTAAAGAGTAATCCGGATATCATTGAACCTATATTTACCGATTTTTTGAAATATTTCCGACAAAATGATTGTGAATATCGTTTGGCTGTTTTACAACTTTGTGCTGAACTCTTCCAACGTTCTCATGTTTTCCGTATTCAGTTGACCAGTCATATGCAGGTTTGTATCGGCGAAATTAAAATTAAGAAGTAGTTGCGAAATTATCAAGAATAACCTGCAATTATTTTTCTCATTTTTCGGGTAAAGGAGATATTGAAACTTTTTTTCTCAAATCACACGTTATTATTAAATAGAGTGGTTTTGTTTTGTTTTGGCTGCAATACGTCATTTCCCTGTGATAGGCCAGTTTTTAACAGATTTTAATAGTTTTCAGCTTTTCAGGAAATTTTGTTGTATACAGCGGAAACAGATCCTCTTCATTATCCCCTGCCACCTCCCAAAGAAGCTGCTAAAATCCTCAAATTAGAGATTTTGAAACTTGTCAAACTTTGGCATGAGAAATATGCGGAAGCCTATCCGAAATTGGATTTTGCTGTCAATTTCTTACGCTCTTCAAAATCTTTGGATTTTGAACACGCCAGTGCAGAGCTTCAGGTTATTTTCTTTTGTACTATTCTGCGAGTAATGGTTTAAACATCTATTTCAACACATTATGATAAACATAACATTGCGTTACAAAAAAACTTTCCTTACTACAAAAAAAATGGAATTCTTATTGCCTATTTAATCATATATTTACTTTTTTTATTCAAATTTGTCGAAGTAACTGTTATGATTTCAAATCCTTCTGATTTTTTGTAAATTTAAATTGTTTATAACAGATGGTTTTCAGATTGAAAGGCAACGCGCTGAAGAAGTAAATCGAAAAAAAGATGAACAGAGTAAACAGCTGGTCGCAAAAGTTGAAAAGGAATTTAAAGAACGACAAGAGGAAATTTTACGTTGTATCAATGAGACACGGCATGCACTCGAGCTCCTGGTGCCACGATTTGATGTTGATGAAGGTGCAAATGGTGAGAGACACCTCGGATGTGAGAATGAGGTTACATTTGGTTTTATCTAAAATTATTTTGAATTTAATTGTTGGAATTATTATATGTTATTTCTTCCATTTGCTTATATCGTACCAACAGCATTGTGGATTTCCGTTAATGAATGATGTAACGTTAGACTTTCATGCTAAATTCTTTATTATGTGTTTGCTTCCTTCCATGTAAATCTACGATTTTCAGATGACCCATGGATACAGTGTACTTGAACCAGTAGCTGTAACTGTTCCATTGAATGCACCAGTTGTAAATGTAAATGGAGAAAATGAAATAATCATAAATGCTTTGATAGATTGTATCAGAATGTTACAATTTTGTAAAAAAATCATTTGCCGCTGGCTTGTCAAGCTTGGGAAATATGGTGGGAACAATGGGCAGAGATTGTGCAAGGAAATCGTCGATTTAAAAAACAGGATTACAGTTGAATTAGAGAAGTCTGCATTTATTTTTTCTTAAATTCTAATGGGATTGCTTTTCCATGAATTCTTTTTCGGAATTGAAAATTTAATGGAACTTTTGCTTTTGAACTTTTTTATGAAGATAAAGCTTTAGATTTAATAAAATTTTAGGTGTGAAGAATTGCATCTACAAAATAGGCAAAAATCAGATGAGGAAGACTGCGAAACAGACGATCTTGAAGAAGTGCCAGAAAAAGAAGGTAATTTGTTCTCAATTTTACGTGATAAGCTCCAAAAATTTTACGATTTTGATTAATAGTAGAATAGTTTTCAGGTTTGGAGCTGTATTGCAAACCACCAGAAGAGTTGCCAGAATATATTTTACGAAAAACAATGGAAAACGTGGGCGATGATTTGGTTGGCCCCAGCAAAATTCATGGAATGCAGGATCTACTAAATTCATCTCTGGGTAAAATTATGATGCCTTTACTCTTATGATTTCATGGGAAAATCCAGTTGTGATTTTTCAGGTCGTAAAAAGAATGAAAGTCATGAAAATGAAGTACCGGTCTTGCTGTATGGACTTGATTTGAAATACTGGGGTGAAAATGACGTCAAACCTGCTGAAGTGCCGCGAAATAATGCCGACTGTCATCGATTCTGGCGTCCTTCAGATGAAAGGTTGATAAAATAATGACGTTTTATATTTTGCTTATGTTGATCACTTCTAGTCCTATACAATTCTATTTTAAAATTTACTCCAGCTGTTCAACGAATTTGGATATCGCAGAAGCATATCGCGCACGAGTTATGACGTTTGTTGGTCAGCAACTAAAGAGTAGTCGACAATGTCGTGCTCCGCTCAATGATGGGACGTTATGTCCTCGCATGGACCTAAAACGTTGTCCACTACACGGAAAAATCATTGATCGCGATGAGATGGGATTTCCGGTGGACGAAATCATTCAGTATGTGATTAAGAAAATAAAATCTGAAGTGAAAGAAACAAGCAGACAAGTTTGAGTTGAGAGAAGTCACACATTCCAGAAAGCAAATGCAACAAGTTTCCTTGTTCATTAATCGAAACTTAAAGTATTTTTACCAAATTTTCAGGATATCTTGTAATGCAGAACGTAGTGCAAAGGAAGAAGAAGAATATATCAGAGATGTCGAAGCTGCCACTGGTGCTAATTTGAGGGGAAAGATAAAACGAGGAAAGAGGAAACGAGAAGATATCCATAGAGATGCACCTGTTGCCGTAAGAAACAGACTTAGTGTAAGAAATTACTAGTTTTGCATTTTCCTCTCGCAGGTTTTAGGAACATTTTATAAATCAAAGCCAAGGCATTGTTTTCGGGGGAATTTTCGATGTTACCTTTTGACGTGTTTAGAGATTACGAATAGATTGAATTAGGTAATCTGATGGTTGATAACGTATATCTATGGTCATATTTTGGAAGGCCGAATAGGCACAACGACGTAACCATCGCTAAAAATAATCGGAGTTATTACTGAATTAAGAAATCTTCTTCTTTAATTTATAAAGGCTTAGAATTTATGTCATAAATTTTAGCCAAAAGATTCCTTTACGGTCTTATATCCATTTCTCAAATCTAAGGTTCAGTTAACTTAAATCCAAATAAATTATGGATAGAAGAATAAATTCTTAATTCCTTCTTTTTTCCTTTCTTTTTTCTGTAATACCTAATGTACTTTTTTTCTAGGCTAAATTATTCAAGCGAAACACAATAAAACGTGTTTACGAAACATTAGAATTTATTCGAAAAGCAAGAGCAGCAAAGAATTTCGAGCACCAGTTCAATTATGCGTTAACTAGAATTTGATCAGCATTAGAAAATTTGCAGATCCATCCATGCTTTCAAGAATTTGCAGAAATTTCTCGCTGATTTGATTTGATTGCAGTTATTAATTTTGCTGATAAGTTTTGTTAGAGATATGGACAAATGTTCTACATACTGCATATTGGAAAATAGTACAAGTTATGTTTCTAATTTCATAACATTTTTCATGATCATGGTAATGCTTATGAGATGAATATCAATTTATATATGCAGATTAAAGTGATCCTGTAGACCAGTTATTAAACATTATTGAATTATTGGACTAGACAGCCTCACAAAAGGTATGCCTGAAACTCTTATAAATCAGTTCCTTATTTTACTACTCTTTTCCGTACTGATCTTTTTCCATACTGCTCATCTTCCTGATGCTAACATGATTAAGAAAAGATGAGGTGAGAGTAGCAGTAATGATTCGTGTTTGTTATAAAATGTGAGACATAAATTTAACAAGGTTTCACAAGGTTATTTTGTGAACTTTTGCTTTGATAACATTGACCAGTTTCTTCTGCAATCATTTTTGCTGTTTCTTATGTATATTCCTCATATTGGTGCTTGATTATTTCTTTAATAATGAAAATTCCAAGTCTTGTCTTTTCGGTAAAGTTATAGATATTGATGAAGTGTCACAGATTATATTCAAATTTTTTTCTTTCTAATTTTTTGGAATTTATGCACTAAGAGGTCTGAGTTTCCATGTAGAATTCAATTCCTGCTTGTACTGCTACAGTGTGACAGTTCGAGGGCCATGATTGAAACATGATGTCAGTCCATATTGAGGTGAGGGATTTTTACCAACAGTGGGTTTGTCAGAGAAATCATTTGAGGGTTTAGTGATTGAATTTGAAAAATTCATTGTTGTGAACAACGTATTTGTTGGTGGGAATGTTTCCTACGTGCTGCTGATGATGTTTTATCAGGCTTCAATTAATTTCTTATATTGCTTATAGGCAAAATTTCCTGTTTCACTAAAACTTTTACTCAGATTCGCCGTATAAAACTATTTTCAAGTTCAGTAACTATGCCACTAGTCGACGTGCCTGACGCCAGGATTGATCCTGACGGTGTTTTCAAGTACATATTAATAAAGGTAGAGTTGTGACGTAAAACCCAGTTATTTTTGATTGTAGTAATCTTATTTATGTAAAGTTTTTGGCTTGAGTTCGAAGTAATTGAGGTTTAAAATTAATCTACTGGTAAAAGAAACAATGAGGAAAGATTCGTTTAATAGTTTGGTGAATTCTACTGTAACAGTCAGAATGCTGAGGTAATAACTATAATATGATCTGATCATATCATTACAGGTAACAGAAAAAGCTTCGAAGAAAGAGAAACTGATCGTACGTGGATACACTCGCTGTGCTTATCATGGAGATGTGTTGGACGAAACAGAAAAGGAACTTGGACCAGATTACGAACTGTTATGTTTGGGTGGGGGTAGAATCAAGCATGAGTCGAAAGATCACAGCATATTGGTATATGGGTATTCACAGGTTATCAAGTTTTATTGTAATTAAGCATCTAAATAGTAACTTATCTTAATGATGATTGTCCACTAGACACGACAACATTTCATTTACTTTAATCATTCTTGTGGATTGAATTTTAGAATGTACTAAATTGTTATCATCCCACAGAACAAAAACTTGGTGATGGAGTCATTGCTTTCATAACAGTTTTATCTTTTCATTATTTTTTTGGAATACAAATATTTCTGTAAAGTCAGGTCATTTATTGTAGGAAAGTATAATTTGAGGCGTGAGTAATGTTTTAAAATTTGATACTCTGCGGTGTGTCTTCAAAACATAGATATTCTTCAGATCGATGCGATAGAAAAGCTATTCAATTAAAACAAAAATTCTATCATTTCATTTAAATCAAATTCCATATATTATTTGATTTTTCGCGGTTATATTTTTATATATTTAGGGTTATGGCCCAGCAGACCACCAAAAAAGTGTCGATATCTTGAAAGAGAAATATCCAAATTATAAAATCACCTTCTCTAACGATGGATATTAATTCCGCTTCAATATTTTCCGCGACTGTTTCAAATATTGCCTGCTTCAGATGATTATTTGTCTCATCTTTCTCGTTCTCAAGCTTGATTGAAAGTAAAAGCTGAGTCGCAATTTCAACTTTAACTTGCATTTTAGCAAAATTAATAATTTGTCGTGAAATTGGTTTTATTTATCAATTCTTTATTTTTTATTATGCATTTGCTGTGCGCTTTATATGTTTTCTGTGAAATTCTGAAATTGCAAATGTAATTTCAACAAACTTATGTGATATAGTAAAAATGGAATGTTCATAAATTCGCGTTATTCCTTTTCCTCCTAACTTTTAGCAAGCTGAAGCATTCAGCCACATTCAGTTACTTGTGGTTCTTTTCATTACCTACCGTTTTCCTGTTTTCCTTTTTTTCTTATCGGAATCCGAACAGTACGATGTCTTGCGGAAGATTTTAATGAGCATAGAAGAAATTCTTGAAGACGTGTTCATGTTTCCGTAATTTCGAAAAGTTCCAGGAAGATATTAATAAATTCATCGTTTAATTGATTGTTCCGAACATTTTGCATTCAATGTCATTGGAAAATGTCGCAGATGTGAATATAGATCCGGAAGGTTTATTTAAATATGTAATGATCAAGGTAACTGTTAAAATAATCGTAACATTTATCGTGGTTTAACATAGCTAACACTGAATATATATCCATTCATGGGCTTCATATTACTTTTTCCGAAGTACCAGAATATTCATCCGCTAACTGACTTATCGTTGATTTGAATTCTTCTCAATGCTGATTTGACGTTTTTGAATTTGCCGTTCAGGCTATATTTTCAGGTTACTGCGAAATCATCAGGCGAAGAGAAAATGATCATTCGGGGTTACAAACATTGTAAATGGCATAAAAATATTTTTAAACAAACTGAAAAAGAAATTGGTATTTCCTTCTCATTGAAATGCGTTGGTGGTGGACGCATATTACATGAACCTCAAAAGAAAAACCTTTTTGTTTATGGTTATTCACAGGTTGGTTTCATTGGAATTCACAAAATAACTGCTTAAATAGCTCTTTAAGTCTTACGAATTCCTCGATGCAATAGAGAGGCTTGTTTTAAATAGTGACAAAATGTAGCAGATTGCATGAAAAAGTAAAATTTCAATCATCTAAGATCTTGTTCAGGTTACTGCCATTTCAATGTAATGTGATATTATCGTCAAGAGACTTTTCACACTTCATAACTATAATTTCTAGACTTGTGATCTGGCATAATCATAAGCAAATGCGGGCAAAAGATTATTTTGCAATAGGTTGCCAAATTTTCTGAATTAGAATCATGACATTTTATAAAATCATAACAGTTATAAGCTACTGAAATTTGACGGCTGATTTTTATAGAGATATGGTCCAGCAAAACATGAACAAACAGTCAGTTTGTTACAGAAGAAATATCCGGAATATAAAATTACATATTCATACGATGGTTACTAACTTTGACTTGATCTCTTTTTTTTTACTATGTATTGTTTATCTTTTTGGCGAAGCAGATATTTATTCTCTGGAAGATTTCTTTTTTTCGAATAAATGCAAAGAGCATTTTTCCGGCCCTTTTACTAATATATAATTAATTTAAATTCCTTAAATTAAATTTGGCCAATAAAAATTTCCTGGATTGAATCCAGTTGATATAAAACTAAACAAAAGAGTCAAACTTCTTCATCTGTGACATATGTAAAGTATGGAAGATTGGATAAATTATAGCTTAAAGAACAATCATGTAATATTTTTGTTCAAATAATACTTTTGTTTTCATTCATTGATAGTCAATAAGAAGTATGAATTGAAGAAATATTTGTAATTTCTACATACATTCAATGTTATTATTACTTTCTTAAGTGACATTGGACAAAATCCTCAAAAGTTTCTGCTAATAGGATAGGCTTATATCCTTTCATCCTTCACTGTTTGATGAGGAATGATATATCTTAAATACTAGTCTTAGTTTATTCACAGTTGTATCTGCGAAGTTTTAAAAGAATACAACTGTGAAAAATTCTCATCCTTATGCAAAGAATAAAACAAAACGGCATAATTCTAGAATACTGATTTAATCTTATCACTTAATGCCATGTTTTTATTTGTTTCTAGTTTGATCAGGGTTCTCAAATCAAGTATATTTGTATGATAGTTGAAACGGTACATTTTCTTGGTATTTTTACCTGCTTAAGCGTTTCCCTGGAAATCTCGAATCAGGAAGACATTCTATACCTTCTTGCTTAATTCCTTACGACAGTCTTTTGTTAAAAATAAATAAAAAAATTAACGAAATTATTGATTGCTCCTGCATCTCTTCTTTCTACAGTCAGTGAAACCAGCAAACATTGCTTAATTCCAATGATGATAACGCTAAGCGACAAGGTCAAAAGGTGAAATGATACTAGTTTTGCATAATTCGTGAATTCATTACTTAATTCCGAAATTGAAATCTTGAGCAAACAGAATTGCCAAACTTCTGGGCCAGAGATTTTCGTTGGAAAACCGTTAGATTCGATAGTTTCTTTCTGGTTCGTTGTAAAAATTCATGTTTTTCAAGGTAATCCTATAAACTCTTCAATAAAGTATAGGAGCAACATTGTGCACTTTATTTTTTAAAATCATTTTAATGAAAAAATACAAATACGCACTTGGCGGTAGCAATTAATAGTACGTTTAGTAATCCAAATTTGAATTTTTATATTGATGATGGTGAAGTGGAGTATTGTACTAATGCGGGAATATCAGTTTTTTCATATGTGATCCCAATATTGCTGTCATTCTTTGAACTCGTTGTTCTGCTGATAATCCACGTTCCATGTGAATAGCTTGCAATTTGTGCTGTATGTCGACAGGTAATTTTTGGAGTGATGATGATAATGGTAGTTTCTGGCGGATTGAATCCGGCAAAGCATCCATTATTTCATCAATCCTTTTCATTTTCTGCTAAAATAATGCTAGAGATTTGAAGGAACTCGAAAGACTGAACTATAACACTGTGATGATAACGAGCTGAATCAGTCAAAATAACAAAAAAACTTACTGCCTTATCGAGGTTGATATCCTGATAAACTGTAACAAGCTGATCCCATGCTTCTTTTGGAAGTATATCTTTGAATTCCAGTGAAGGTGTCTAGAAATTATTTTTTATTTAAGCATTAACCATTTGACGATTTATTTGCACACTTTGCTAATGTTTTAAGCAGAAGGAGAGGCCATTTACAGTTACTTACTGGCCGTCGTTACCTTAACATTTATCTGTTACTTTCCTTTATCTAAAAAAGAATGATTTTTTTTTTAAATATTTGAATTCTACTGCTGTTGTTGTTCTCTGATTCTGTGAAGATAAGACATTTATTTACCTTATGGTTTTGGATTCTATAACTTTCTCTCTATCTTATCAGTAAATACCCCTGGAACAGCTAATCTTTTTCTCTGAATAAATAACTGACATGTTCGATCTTGATAAGGGATATTCAAAACATAGGCCAGGGATTGGAGGATTGAAGGCACACTTATTTTCCGTTTGGCTTTTTTTTTCGGCTTCTCAAAACCGTTTCAATACAGGTGATCTTCCCAATAGCACCATCACCGGCATTTCCCAATGGTGGAAGCAATCATTACGGCAAGATAGTAGTATTCTTTGATTAGTTTCATTGTTATTACTGTCATTGTTGCTGTCATTATTATTGTCATCATGTTATCAACTACTATTCGTTATTACTATTGCGATTAATTATCTTTGTTTACTGTATCACCACCCTTGTCATATCATTATTTGTCTTTATTACTGTACACTAAGCCAGTATTGTCCATTTTCTTTTAGTTTCGGTATTTGCCATGATCAAATTCAGTTGAACTTAGAAAGGATCTTCGTGTTCAAATTGCTATATGATAAGTTGAAAAATACCGGTGGCAAATCCGGCATCGCTTGCTGTAGTATTCGCTTTTGTTCTTCTGGAAGTGATTCAATGATAACTGTCATCTGGAGCCATTTTTCTTGCACTGTTAGGTTTTTTGCTGTCCGTACAACTTTGATCATTTCCTGGACATCCTGTGGAAGCGAACGGAATACTGGTGGAAGAGGGAGCCGTTGAAGAACATCTACCGGTAAGGAATTTATAATTTCATCAATTTCAGCTATCTTTTGCTGCAACCGATATCATGTGATTTGACAAGCAAATAAATACATGTGAAAAAGAAAACACAACTTTCTTCCAAATTTTATCTACTCTTTTTGATTTAGTTTCTGTATCTCGTATTCCTAATTTCTGCTCTCTCTCTCTCTCTTTATAAATAATTTTAAGATGAATTTGCGAAATCAAGAATACGAAACTATGAAGATCAATAAAGAATATGAATAAACATATCCTTATGTTATTATCAGTATTGATATATGCAGATTGCTCTAACCGGTATTGTCAATGATTGATTCTGATGAATCGCAGTGAGCTGAGAGAAAGTTGCAGGCGGAAGAATGCCTTTCAATTCAAACGGAGGTTCCTAAATGCTTAGCGATTAATATCAGGAATCAGATAGTTCATTCAGAAAACCGTACCTTAGTTACAGTATTTCATGTGATATGTGTTCACGACTGACTCATTCATCAATTCATTTTATATACGAAGGCAAACATTTAAAAATTGTTCAGAAAACTTAATATTTCTTCAAGTGCTGTATTGCTTCAAATACTTCAAGTCTGGCTTTTCAACTTTTTTGGGATCTTCCGAATCTTATCTGGTCATATCTGACATCCCACGAATGCCTAAAGCTCCTTCACGATTTATCAAACAATTTTCGGTGATTTTATCTATTCCAAATTCTATGCTTCCCTCGAATTTAAAAGATTTTAGAAATTATTGCTCGAAATCAAACTCTCGGTCTATTGTCGAAAGAATTGAATATAATATTTAACGAAGGTCTACATATATCACTAGGCCGATCCCACAGAAATCTGGGAATGTGATGTTTTTCGAACTAAATGGCGGTTTTTTATTGAACTATTTTTCCAATTAGGAAAAAATCAAGGATCAAAAATGAAATATTACACCAAATTGATTAAATGATTTACGAAAAATGGAAACAAAGCATACTGGAGGAAATGAAGGTGGTGCCCTGCGCTCATCAGAACTCCATGGTACACTGGATTTTGATGCAACCAACAGTACCGTTGATAGCACTAGCAGAAAAGTGGATATTGTTGGATGGAACATCTTGAGAACAGGAGTTGCTTTCATTTTTAGGCCCCTTTTATAGATACTTTTTTCTTGGTATTATGTAAGCACTTTGAATTCACACTAACGATTCCCTCATCCTTCTAGTCAGCCAATGGAGTAAATGCAAGTTTTGATTAATTCTAAAAAAGTTTGATCTCAACTTTTCCTTCAGCCCTTTTCATTTTTGACCCTCTTCCATCCCCTACCCACTACTTCTTGTGATTGACCTGAATGGGAAAGAACCAGTTTTTACGCGGTTATGTTCATTCTATACTCATACTTACCTTCCACTCAAATGTCTTACAAAAGCTGCTCAACAGCAAGAGCAACCTTTCAACCAATTTAATTTCTATAAATTTTTCAGTGACTAAGAATAAATAAACAAGTCTATGTTTGTTCTCTTTTCTTAATTGCACGAGCTGCTCCCATTTTTTCGGCTGAAAAGCAACTGAACTTGCTGTTGGAACCTTTACATCACTTATACAGTTCGTCGAATGACACTGTGCCCTGTCGGTATATTACCGAAGAATATCATCATTAAGTTAATTTCCAACCAGTATCCAAAAATTGTCTCTCTCTATACTACCATTCATTGACTTTGAATTTGCTGATTTGCTGTCAATACTGAAATATATCAGGTTCCAACTTAACCAAACTGCTGTGACTTTAATTTGAATTGTACATTCTGTGTTTGGAATTTAAATATTTTTCAATGGAAAATTGTTTACTTTCAACTAAGGAATCTTTCAAAAAAAAAACCAATATTTGCCATTTCTCAAGGTTTTCTTATCGATATTCAAAAAGTAAATAAAAAAATTGTTTACCTATATACATAACTCTGAAATACGACTAGTATTTAATTAAATCAAAATGTATAGCGTTAGTCATGCTATCCTGACTGTCTTTTCTTTCATAGTTTTTAGAATTTTTATGAATAAGGAGATAAAAGACATATCAAATAAAAATGGCAAAGCGACTGATTGTGGGAAACACGAGGTTGGTAATTTATTTTAATAAATGCGAAAATTCTATACTTGGGAGCGATCAGTCGTTTTCCTGATTTTCCCTAAATAAATAAATTGGAATTTAATTGCTTTTCTTTCAGTTTTCCAATTTTTCAGCCATTAAAATTACACAGATACTAGGTGATGGTTGCAACTGACTCATGTGACATCACTTCTAAAAAAAATTTGCTGGGCTTTAAATTTCGCTTTAACTTTAAATTTCGTTTTAACAAAAACAGGTATATTTATTTCACCACATTTAAATCTGAAACCATACAGTTCAGCAGAGTACGTATGGTCATCATCCAGATGATCAAGCATTGTTTGATGCCGTTCATAACAACCAAAAATAAATAAATACAAGTAAATGACTGAAACAATCTGGTAAGGATATAAAATACTTTCCAAACAATGCGACTTTCACTTCAAGTTTCTGAATCTCTAAAGAATGAAATTAAAATTTTTTCTTTGAAAATCCAACAAATTCTGCAATCATAAGGTGTCCTGCATAAAGATTTAACAAATTTTAGGCATAATCAAATTAAGAAGTAAATGAATTAAGCAAATAAAAGTTAAAATTTTTTAAAACGAAATAAAAAAGATACTGAAGTTTCACAAAATTATTAAAACCATAATCCAGGCACTTCTCTTGAGGACACAGATCATATAGTAATGATAAAGGACTAGATAAAATGTTATGCAAAAAGGTCATAATTTAGTTCAAAATTACAATTGATGCTGTATCTCATGCCCCACATTATTCATATATTTTCCGAAAAACAGCTTTTAACTTTTACGCCTAATAATAATTAATCACTCCCAGCCGAGAAGTTTCCTCGTTTTTGGGTCATCCAGACTAAGCAACTCTGTTTTCCGAGCTTCCAGAATCTCATCCGGTATGTACCTTATATCCTCATCCGCTTGTTCCTGTTTCTTGATTGTTATCGCAATACCAATAGGTGCATGAGCCTACAGAAAAAAAAATATAGATGAAGATACTGAAAAAATAAGTCCTGAAATAAATGAAATTTTAGAAGAGACTAAGATTATCATAGAATATGTTATCACAATGGAAGCAAAATATGGCAGAACTTGAGCATAGAATTATGGCGAATTGATTAATAAGTAATCTTGACCATCAGTTTTTTTCAGAAATTCTTGTACTGCAATGTACAAGCTTTCGGAATTTAAATAGACTAATTTTTAAGTGAAAGAATTTTTAAGTTTTGATTTTTAAGATTAATTTTCAAGTCTTTTCTGTAATGATGTTTCCAGAAAAAAATCAGCTACCCATATTTTTACTTCCTACACTGATAGAAATTATCATGTTACATTTTCCACACGCCGAAAACATATTCTTCGTAGTTCTGTTAAATATAATTACAATAGGCCTTCAAAACTACATACACAAAGCAAACTAAATCCCACAGTATAATTACACATCTTTTGAAATGATATATCATTTCACAATACTTTAAAGAATGCCTTTTACAATAATTTGTGACTCATCAAGTTCTAGGAAGGAAATGACAATATTCCACTTATTCAAAATGACAAGTAAGACAAAGATAAAATTTTTTGTCTTCACTCAGAATTATTTTTCTTTACTCAGACAAATAAGTAACACGGTAGTACGATGTGTAGTGCCCAGAATCCCTTCAGAATGATGGATCATTCCGGGCAGCCCAGACGTTCTATGCTAGTAAAAACTTGACAGTGAAAGTAGCTGCAGTTTTTCTTGTTTAAAGATAAAAGAAGCTATAGAAAAAATGAACCTGTATAAGATGAAGATACAGTGAGAGACGAACACATGGTACCTCGCTTAATCTCAGAAACCGATGATACGTTGATAGTACTATCTCTTTTTCTTGTTTCCCTTTGTCGGGTTTCTCTGGCATCAGGATAACTTTCGTAGGAGGAATCGCGTAGCTGCAAAACATTGGAAGTTATGCTGAACTGAGCTTAATTTAAATTTTAGAAAAGTAGAAATCAATGTATGAGTTTAAAGAAAGATACAGAAATAAGAAAGATTAAAAATTCACGAAAACTAAAATGCAGAGTTTCAATTTTTATCCATTTGCTCAGACTAATAACAAATTAAGCAGAAAAAAGATCGAAATAACTAATTAAGGGAATAAGGTGATAGGCTCCCATTAAGAGCTCTTGCTTAACTGTGTCACAGACAAGGAGAAGCTATATGCTAAATCGCCGAATAATCTTCGTACTTATCGCTCAAATTCTAGTAGAACTTACGATTCTATAACTGGAACCAACATGAAACCATACCTATCGATCACTTTGAATTCAAATTGGCGTGCCTTTTTGTGAGCGTAACTGTGAAACTTTTCAAGTGGTACAAAATCCATTGAATCTAACTGAAGATTGAGCGTCGGATATTCGGGATAAATTTTGGTATTCTTAATCATTGGTTCGTATAGTTGCCATGGATCAATTTTCTTCACCTTTGCCCTAAGAGACACTTCTCGGATATGTTGTACTGTCGTAGTTCTAATCCATTGAGGTTTAAGCAGTTTCATGGATGAATCTGCAACATACTAGCAAACCATGCAAATTTACGGGAATACATTTGCAAAAGAGCAGCTTGGTGAGAGAATGGTTTGATGACTGTACCGATGGGTCTTGTTAGGGTAATCATTACGACCTTCGCGGTCCCTCAATCGATGCCAAAGCAAAGCTATGTGACAGAAAAATTGGTCAGCAGCAGTTCACATTCTGTGAACGTGTTCTAAATTACATTAGGTAGGGTGAAGAAAGTTAACAGCACTTGGGTGCACAGGAACTTTCATCTCGCTGAAATACTATCCCACAATATCTGAAAGAGTGAACTAATTCGAAATGGAGAACTGAATGCAATAATATGAAAACAGAACCAAAATTACAAACATGTCACATCAGTCCAATATATATTCCCCATTCGATCCCATTTCTCCAAACATGAATGTGCTATGTTAGACATGTTAGATGTATCGGGAAGGCTTCTAACTCCTGACCTTTAATCCCAGCTTATCCAATCCAATTAACCATTTGTTGTAACTAACGCAATTCCTACTTACTCGTAACTCGACTTTTTAGCCAATTCATCCATCCTTGGGTTACCACATTTCATCGTTTAGCTATATACATTTCCCTCCAAATACAGCGCTATTCGGGGAATATAAATCTGAGGAAGTTTTTAGCGCAAAAACCAATAATTCCTCACGATTAAAACCAATGATTTTTCAGAATTTCAAAAGTTAAACACCCGATTGCCGTGTTAACGTTCTCTTCCAAGAGAGGCAGAGGATGTTTCAGAAAAGCGAGACAACGTATATCAGAGAAAACGCCGAAAGCATATAACATTTGGAGCTCAAACCACTGGATGTGGTCTGCAACGAAGCCTAAAGTATGTACCATGATAAATTCCGGTGGGTTTTGCTCTTGAACAACTGTTCTTGAGATCCCTCGCTTGGTAGATTTATCTGCCTTGCGAGTTGATTTTTTTGGACCGCGTCCCCGGGGTTAACCGGGAGCGCATTACTGTGAGTAGTAATTAGTAGATTCTGCGTCGCGAGATCCCCCGGTTATTTCTCTTTATTATTCGCAACAAATTTATTTGCCTGTACGGATGATTACGAGTAGGAACGGCGCTTTATTGACTTGCGCTGTATTGGGTGTGTTTGCAACATTAACCAACCCTAAATTTCTAGGAATTTCGCATCAAAGGTCTCATTTGGAACCGGAAATATCAGGTTTCAAACGTCTAAAGATATAATTTATTTTTTGAAAAAGTACAAATACATAATATCAAATGAAGCAATGAGAATATGAAATGGAAATTTGTTTTGATACCTGATCCAATTCAAATACTGAAGAAAGGGAATTTCCATATTTGACAAAAACGATAAAGTGATCATGATATGTTTTTAGCCACCTACTTTTTCGGCTCCCAATTCACTATCAAATAGGGAGATATTCATTTCAATCTCAGATAATTTTGGAAATTCAAAACCCAACTCGGTTATAAAATATTAAGCACCCGATAAACTCAACACGATATATCACTGTATAAATTATATTAACATCGATTCAGTACCAGAATGACTGACGGAATGATGGTGAACTAACAGGCTGTGGGTACAATCCAGCACCTTTTGTAAGGTATGGTGACGTCCTGAAGTTCGAACTCGGCTGTTGCGGATATTGTTGCTGTCGTAGAATTACTGACAGTTTGTCGGCTTTGATTTTTCTGCAAGATAAGAAAGACAAACCTGACCTTCTAGCAACACTGTAGATAAATTGATAACCAAAAGTGGTTTAACTGATGATATCGTTTAAAAAAGTGAGGAGTGTCAGAATTCCTTCATAAGAGGTTACAGAGATTTCCATAATGCTCACTTTGAGGATCCAAATTGCTTTAGACAATTGTAGAGGATAAAAAATTGTACAAGTGAACCTCATATGAGCAAGAGTCTTCTTTTCAATGAATTCTTTCAAGAACTGGTCAACTTCTATCTCACCGCTCAAATATCGATTGGCGATCGCCTGAAATAAAGATCCTAAAACAGTAGCAAGACCATCAGTGACGACTGCATTCCAGACATGAATGCGCACCCATCAGTCTCCAAAGCCAGAAATGCAGTAGAGTTGTCATACTACTACCTTTGATGCATTCATTTTTTTCGCTTATCAAGGTTCAGAAAAAAATTTTCCTACTAATCTGTTTTAATAAATCGAAATCATTTATGTTCTACCAGTAAGAAAAGTCTTGAATCTCTCATGTATTTTGTTATCTTCAAAATAGCATTTTGCAAATATAAGTCTCGGAAAAACTTCGAAAACCATAATGCAAATTTTCTGTCGGATTACTGAAATTAAAGCTACGGTCCAAACAAAATTTCCACAATATCCAACAAACGGGGTGACGAAATCTTGTAAAATTAAAGCAATGAAGAGGATATAATAACAATGGACAGTGTAAAATAAAAACGTCTCAGTACCTACACAATGGACACTGCCAAAGGCTAGCCATACCTCCATGATAGCCAGGACGGAGCTTACAAAACTCCTCCCTAATCCTTATATATATATGAAAAAATCCCGACAGTTTTTTTTTTCTTTATAACCGAACAGACGATAGATCCTCTTCGCTTATTCTCCACGACTGAACCACAAACGACGACATTTTCGCACATCCGTCACCACTGGACAACAAACTACGATATTCTTCTATTCGCTAAATACATTTCCCGTAACATATTCCCAACTCAACGCCCTATCAACTAACCGACAGTCAAATTACTGTCCAGTGCAACGACAAGGAGTTTGTTAGTTGATCATATTATTTGCTTTTTGTATAACACATTCATCATTGCTTACCAACTCATCGTGTAATATACATATTTCTACATTGCTTACCAACTCATGGTGTTATATACATATTTATACCCTTTTTCTTGTTGTTAACTAGTAATATTGTGCAAGAACAATATTACATTTCGAATAAATCTATATCGTCGAGAAACGAATTCAACAGAGAAATAAATTTCCAACAGTAAGTTTAAATATAAAAGTTATAAGCTGTAAACTAAAACATTTTGAAATTGAAGGCTTTTTCAAATCCATTGCCTTTACACACTACAAAAAATTACAAGGAGTGCTTTTGGGCATAGAAAATTAACTGGTTCCGAATAAATTAAATAAATTGAACGACTTGTCAATAAAAAGTGTATAATATAGTTAAAAAAAAAAAAGAAATAGGCGTTTTGTGTGACGGATATCTTCCGTTCAGTGTCATCACTAAATATGAATGAAATGCGACTAAACATTCAAAAAAGGACTCAGTACTGATGATTCTAGCAGCAGTGAGATTGATGAGATTGATATGAGATTGGTCTCATAGCCTGCACAAATGATTGATCTGCCATTTGTGACTCAGTTATTTAATTTTTACTTAGATCAATTAATTCACCTCGCTTTCGTCATCAGCAGATTGTGCAGCGGCTTGCAGCAATGCGGTCGATGTGTCCAGCGATCTTTCTTCCGACAACGAATCTGAAAATGAAATCAAAATTTTGCGGTGTTTCTAAGACTCTCCTCTCTAAAAAGCACTGTATGTATCAAGATATGTAAAAAAGAAAAAAAAATTCAACATGTAGTACAGTTCAAAAATGTAGTACTGCGACATGAAGCTCATTAGTTCAGCCTATGGCATTTTTATCCAGTGATAAACAAAAGATTGAAAATGCTGAAAACTTACTCAATTTTTCTTTAAGTTCCATAACTTCGTCTTTAACTTTGACAGCTTCTTCATAAGTGGTTCGTAACCGCCTTTTGGCTTCTTCAATCTTCGGTTCTTGTGATAAATTCCATTCGGCGAGAGATTTATTCTGCACAAGGCCCATTTCACGTTCGGTAGGCAAAGTTCGAACCTCAAAAGTTGAAGAACGTGAATTACAACGCTATACAACACCAGTTCCAATAAAAATTTCAAGAACGAAGAAAAATACTCTACAAGGGAATGTAAATTACATTCTCACAAAGCAAAATAAAAACAGCTCGCAGTGTCATTTGATGCATCACAACCTTGGGGGGACAGCTTCACGTTTAACGAGTGCCACACTAACTGCAGCAAAAAAGTTGGCATGATCAATTTGCTTTGAATCCTGATAGAAAAAAGAGAGGAAAATTTTCCAAATAATGAAAATATTCAAATAATGAAAGACAAACCTGTGATATGTTGTCGATGATATCATCAATTTTCTTTTCAGCATCATTATTCAGCAGTTCTCCGATCTGATCATAATTCATATTTCTAATCGAAGTCATTGCAGCCGAGACACAGATATCTAGGAGAGATTCATAAGAAACGTCGACCATTACGTTCCACCTGAAACTTGTTACGAAGCATCAACCAACTGATCTGTTTAACTTTTAACAAAAAACAAAGACAAAGTGCTCATGCCTAACTAATTGCAGCGAGTGATGAAATTGATAAAACTTTGTTCAGAATTTAAAAATTTTAGTAACCAAAATTTAATAGTCCGTTAGAAAATAACACGGAGCAGCAATTAAATATGGTGTCGAGGAGACATCCCAACTCTTGATGATATTGTGAGCTAGTCCTCCCCAGCCTTTTCAGATATTCTCCGGCTTTGGAAACTGCACACTATGTCCATCATACTAAGTATGTACACAGATTAATCATCTAAAAAGTTATACAGCACGGCCAATTACAAAAATCCTGGAAACACGAAGCATGAGACACACTTGTTTCATTATAAGCCATATATAAAAACGCAAACTGCATCATAGTCGTGCAACGGAACCTGGTTCAAATTGAAGAACAGTTTGTCAAAATATGAACGAACTGAATAATATATCTTTGTCAGAGAGAGAAAGAAAAAGTAAATATATTTTGAAGAGAAGATGTTCAAGTGAGAGTAAGGAAAGAGACGAAGTATAATCTTTTGGCGAGTGGTTTCTAGCTATTCGTGTTAAAACCTGGCTTTGACTGGGCACTCCATGCAATATTCTGTCCCAAACCATTTGTGGTCAAGGTAAGTGGAAATTGCTTTGTTGATATGGATTTTCGATTTCTTATTTTCTTGATTTCACTTTTTAGGTCTACTTTAAAATTATATCTTTTCCTTTTTTTTACAGATGCGGAATCTGAAAATTCGATCGGCTGTGGTACATGATACATTGTTGTCAAGTGGAAGAAATGAAATCCAGCAGAATGAAGCATTCTCAGTGTTCCCCTCATCCTGCGGTAACTTTCCAAATATGACTATGAAAAATTGACGAATAAACGAACCCTACTTGCATCTAATTATAAGTGTTTGAATTGAGACGGAGTAAACTGGTATGTATGCTGCGGAAAATTCTATACATTTCATCAAGATCCATTTTTAAAAAACAGTCGTAATTTCAGAAATTGAAGCAGTATGTATTAGTATTGAAGACAGGATTTTCTGCGCCTGCTGTGCTGGAATATATGAATTGTCATCCGAAGTGTTTGTAAGTTTGTTATATCTATTCCAGTTCTTTTAGTTATCGATTTTTCTATTCCGCGACCAGAAAAGGGTGATAAAAATAAATTGAGTTGTTCACAATTTCAGTATACCAAGTAAATAAAGATGTGCGAACTGGCAGTAGATGACTTATTTATTTCAAATATCTGTAGGTACAAAAAAAAAGATCATTTCATCACTGCAGCATATTGACACGAGGAATGAAGTGAGACTTCCTACCAAACAGTAGTCAAGATATAGCTTATAGAATCGGAATATTCGGTATGCTACAAAGTTATAAACTTATTTCTTTGGTTCAATACTTTGTGATATGTACAGTATCCAGTAGAAGATGAAGCAGTGAACAAAGTGCTAAAAGAAGGGTTTGCATTAGTTAGGGTATATTGAAATGAAATTACATTTCCACCATTTTGCAGAAGTTGGTCAAATGGACCGGACTGCGTAACGGTGCCAAAATCATTTCATTTGATCACCTAAGTGACGAATATCTCTTATGCACTGTGTTATCGTCAGGTGTAGTAATGATTGTGGATTACGAGAACGGAACTGTTGGTTACTTTGCCAATTTCTTTGCTTATTACGTTTGTCTAAGGAAAAAGTACTTTTACTAGCATCTTGGGTTTTCTGCTTTTAATTCCTGAATTGTAACAGACTTGAACAAAAGTAACAAAAGACTTTGAACAAATGTCGACACCTCATGTTTGCATTTTTTGTCGGATAACAACGAGATGTATCGTTTTAAGTCAAAGATTATCTGTTTATGACTGATACTTGGAAAAGCGATCGTCATTTTAGGTTGAGCGATATGAAATAGTACCAACTGAAGTCTCCTCCGCAAAATGGGCTCCCGATTTTCATGTTCTGCTGCTTGCATCATCGGAAACGCTTTACTTCGTTACACGTCAGTTTGAAATTTTGAATGAACAACCGCTGAATTCATCAAGATCTGGCCGAGGTAGTATTTTATTTTTTCTGGAAATTTCAATACAATTTACATTTATTGTAAATCAACTAGCGCTTGTAAAAATTTTGCAAATTTCAAATTGAAGCGGAAGTTTGGGTGATATCTATACATATGTTCCATGCATACATATCATTATATGAGAGAAGGACTTACTAGTAATGAGACTGTTGCTATTACTAATAAGTACCTATATAATATGATGATTGCAAGTCGCACGCAGTGGTTACTTGTAGAAGAATTGATGACAGTTGGCTGGGGTTCTAAAGAAACACAATTCCAAGGTATCGCAGGAAAGAAGCAACCCAGGAAGGTATGGTTTCTATTAAGGAAACAAAATTTTTGTTGAGTTTTTGACTTTAGACCTTTTCACCATCAAATTCCAAAGTTTATTATTTCCAATTACTTCGTATATTCAAGGAAAGCTTTCAGATTGATGATGAGCAACCTACCACTGTGAGCGAATTTGATCAACGTAGGATATTGCTGGCATGGAACGGTGATGCTAACTATGTAGTCGTTAGTTATGTGGATAACGAAACCAACGTCCGGCGATTTTGTGTTTTCGATCATGAAGGCGAACTTATTAGTTATCTACAACAAGTTAGTAATGTTGAAGAAACGCTGGCTTACAGGTGCAAACTACTTATCATTTTCAATATTGGGTTGATATTTCTTTGCATCTTATTCTATTCATCTTATTCTATTCTGCTATAAATTTTTAATGTTAGACAAATTTTCAATGTTTTTTGATGATTTATTATTCCTTTAGTTTTAGTCTCTGTACGTGCTATTATTGCTATTGTCAGTACCAGTGAATGAAAAAGTTGGGAGTAATGACGGGTTGTTTGATGTATAAAATTAGTGATAGGGTGAATTAAGTAGTATGAAAGTTTATAGTTCTTGTTTATCCCTGGTAATCCTAACTTGCTGTTTTGTTTGATAGGTGTTAATAGTGAAAGGTATTAGTGCTGTATTTTTATACATTGTTTTTAATTTCTGTAAATTGCAAAGCAATTTCGTTTCAGGCCCACGGGAAACCTTATTGCAACAAGTCGGTGTGACGGTGATAAACGTGAAATAATTTTTTATGAACGTAACGGACAAAAACGATCGAAATTCGAATACAGACATCAAGGAACTGCGATTGATTGGATGGGTTGGAATACAGATGGGAATATTTTTTGTGTGCGGTCCAAGGACCTAACGGGTATTGTTCAAGAAGGTATAGTACTGCTATGAAAAAATTGGGGTCTTCAGTTTTGTTTATGAATCCTATATTTTTTGGCTAAGACTTTTATTTCAGTAAATTTTTGGTGCGTCAGTAATTATGATTGGATGCTCAAGTATCGCATATTGGTTAGTAGTGGATTTTTATTGACATGTTGGCATGAAAGTAATCCCAATCAGTTCTGCTATATTACGCAGAATGGTCGTGCCACTTTTATTGATTTCGATTTCATTTACAATTTTTGCGATGATTTTGTTTTATCGATAGCAGGATGTAAGTTATTTCAGAGTTTGTTATTCAAAAATAATATTTTTGAAGTGACAGGTTCAAGAAGAAAGTGATGTAATGAGGGGTTCACTTATTGATCCGTAGTTCTGGCTTTTACTCGTGCAAATTCAAGTCACTATTCATTGTATCAAGTTGATCTGATATATGGTGTCAGAACATACCCCTATTTAGCCTCCATGGATAGGTAGTGGAATGGAGATAATGCATAAAACGCATATTGAAAATGCACGCTTATTTTATCGACAATTGCATTATAGAATGTTAGAATGTAGAATGTCATCATAGAATGTTTTGCATCATAGAGTATTCTTACCAGCCTTTTTCTTATTATATGGATTAATTTCCAGGTAATGTACGTGTAACCGATCTAAAAGCAGCACCAATTCCACCACCAATGTGCCACTATGAACTCACTTTTCCAAACACTGTTTGTGAAGTTGCACAGTATAATGGTAGTGCAGCTTTTCTACTTGCGGATCATTCACTTCTTGCATGTACGACCATGTTTCCAATTTTTGAAGTAACTGGAAGTAACTGATATCCAATTTTAAGTTACTATTATCATAATATCAGACTAAATCTAACATACTTTAATCTGTAGACAAAAAGTTTGCTTGGATTTAACTTCCATATATAATTCATAAAACGGTTTTGTAGTATTTGATTTTGTATTAGCAAAGCGCATTTTTTCAACAGTTTACCAAAGCAAACCTTGATCAGCCGGAAATATACATTGAAAGGTTGTTTCTGTTTGAAAAAGTTCAGGATTAGTTCTCATAGTTTGGTATTTAGCTTTAGGAGTTATTTGCAGATAAGTTGCGAGAAAGAAAGTTTGAAGAATATGCTGCATATGATACTACCGATTTACCAAAGGATTGCATATGTTATAATATTTGTTTAAATGATTCTAACCGACTTTCTGCCATTATTGCCTCTTCACGTTACAGTTTATACAGCTTAAGTTTAAAAATACCAATCGTAAAAAAGGTAATTGTTTTACGAGTAATATGCATAGCTGATATTCCAAGTCGAAATTGAGAAGTATGTTCCGAAATAATAGAATGGATTAACATCTTTGCTTGAAATGTGTTTTTATATCAGAGAGACTGACTGACCGATCGCAAAGTTTTATAAATAATTCAGAAGTATGTCGACTCTGTAAATATCAGTGATGCATCTCACTTCTGCTTTGATATAGCTGTATTTTGTTCTTTCAGTAAATGTTTGTATTCTACTGAGAAGCCATTCGTGTGGCATAGTCATTTCACCGATGGTTTTGTATTGCAAGGAATTGATGGACAGTGGTTTTCAATAAAGGAAGATCAAGATCAAAATTATCGTCCAGAAACCGGAAAACTTTTCGGCACAGGATCAGCACTGCACTATTGTCGTTACTCACTGAATAAAGTATATTACTTTAAAATATTTCTGAAATATTGGCGTATATTTTCCCTTTTTCAAATCTTTCATTTCATGATTCTTTGAACCTTTGATCTTTTGCAGCCCTCATTTTCAAGTAATTTACAATTTGTAAATCGAAAGCACTGCACTGCTACCGATCTATGATATACCTTTAACAATTATCGTGCAATTTTGCTGTCATTGTTTAAATTTGGTTGAAAAATACCAACTAATTTATACACAGAAGGAAAATGCTCAATTTTAAGGATAGCATTTTTGGTATCAGCAAAACAAATGATTTGATTATGAATGGCAGATCGATTTTAAAATATGTTGGGTCATATACAGTGGATGAAAATTATCTGTTGACTGTAACGTTTGTTTCACATTCGAGCTCGTCAAAGTTACAAATTACTGAACTAAAAGATATTTCAACAACTAGAGAAATAAGCTGTAAAACTAGTCGAGCTGTTGAAAGAGGTGCAATGTTGATTGGACATGAAGCAAATGGTACTCGAGTTTGGTTGCAAATGCCTCGGGGTCAGAAATCACTTCATTTCATTCTTATAACTATAGGAAAAAATATTTTTAGAAAATATTTTTTCAACAGTCTTATATATGTTTGTTTTTCCACATTCTTTCGAAAATCCAAGATTTCTCGGTCAAGTTACCCTTACTCGAAACACTTTTTTTTTTATTACGAGCATTTCAAGGTAATTTGGAAACGATACATCTAAGGGAATTGCTGTTGAACAAATTGAAGGAATTATTAAACGATTTGCATTTCAAAGATGCGGCTATCATCATGAAGAAGCATCGAATTGACATGAATCTCTTTTACGATCATAATCCAGAGGTAACTATTATGAAGAAGCATGAACGAATTATAAGTTGAAATATCTTATTGAAACCCGAAACCCTTCGTTAAGGAATACCATTCGAAATAAGCTCATGTTTGAAGGGCGTGCTGGACTTACGAGATTGGAAGTATTGAAGGGTTTGTTTGTTCGCATCACGGTAAAATTTGGAAATGCTTAATAGAAGTTTTGACTTCTCGATCTATTATATTCAGTGAATTTCTGTGATATTCGAGATTTTTACTTAATATACTTTCCTAATTTCAGTTTTTCATGAAGAACATCGGTCAATTTGTTGAAGACATAGGTTCAGCTGAATTATTGAACTTGTTCGTGGCAAGTTTGAATAATAATAATGTCACAATGGGTATTTATTCGGAAAATTATAGCAATAGCAACCACACAAGGCTTGATAAAGGAGCAGTAAAAAGTGACGAAACAAAGGTTGAGTTATTAAATTCTTCCTTTGAAGATATTTAAAAGATAAGGTAATATATTATTCTGTTGCTTTAAAATATGAGGAATGTGTTATTCTGTTGCTTTTACATAGTTGAAAGAAAACGTTGAGTTTGATATCATCGCAGCGATTATCTTGCTAGCTTATTTCACTTATACTGAACAGTGATGCGGACTCAATTAAATGTCACGACAAATAATTCAAACACAGAATATAGATCAATGGGAATGAAAAATTTTGCTTACATTAATATTCACTTCTCCCATTTTTAAGGTTCAAAATGTTTGCACCGCCATTCGAGAATATATTTTGAGTCTCGATGATATTCTTATTACTGATTTCTACACCACTGTCATATCAACATATTTGAAAGAACAGCCTCCGCAGGTTTCGAAAGCTCTCTCAGCATTGCGAAAACAATCTTTAAAATGTAAAAAACAAAATAATTTTAATACGTTGGAGGAAATTCCTGTTACGATAACTTCAGAAGTGGTTTAAAAAAACTGGTTATTGTGGATTCAATTAACTGAAAGATATGACCAAAACGAAGCTTAATTTCTTAGGAATGCTGTGTGGTCCATTTTCTTCTGTCTGCTTCAACAGAAAATCAGAAGTTGCCTCTCTTTATTGTTTTGTTATTTCATTTCAAATCTTTTCGATATTTTATGCAAGTTAGCGACTACAACTATTTAAATCCTTTTGTTTTATAGCTATAATATCTCATCCAAGATTAGGTTATTCAATTCTTCATAAATTCATTTCTTTTTTTCCAGTACCTAATGGAACGGAACTAGAAAAAAAGTGGATTGCTTATGTATCTTTACTCGCTCCCAATGAAAATTTGTTCAATGTAGCATTATCAACTTATGATTTAAGTTTAGCACTTGCTGTTGCAGAAAATTCTCAGATGGTAAAGTTTTATATCTAAATGTTGGCCACTATTATCAAGTAAATCCCACTGCTACATATATAATTACGTTGGTTTATTTATTTTTTAACTTGTTGCCATCATCTGTTGATACGCAGAATGCTTGTGCCGTCACTAGTTTTATCTTGCATACTAGTGTTTCATTCTGCATATTCATGGTATTTTTTTTTCAGGATCCAAAGGAATATTTACCACTACTAGCGAATTTTCAAGCTCAAGCTCCTCCTGCATATCAAAAATCTGAAATCGACATACATTTGGGAATGTTTCAGCGAGCTATTTGGAATCTGTCAGAATTGGATAATCATTGGAATAAAGCAGTAGAAATTATTCAAGGGAAGAATTTATACACGGAAGCTCTGGCAGTGTATCGTGGAAAAAAAAACTATCCGGCATGTATTCTTAGAATTTTTTTGTCAGGATGGTTAATTAACTGAAAAAGAAACTAATCGTAAGTCACAAAGACAATCGGATAGTTTACTGAAGGATCGTAGCTGACGCATTCTGGAATATTTTGCTGTCATCTGTCCTTTATTTATTTAGAACTGGAATGAATTCTGATATGATCTGAGCTACCATGTTAGATTTATAATTTTGGTTGTTTCATTGTGTTGTTTATCTTTTAAATGGAGTTGACAGCTGTTTCATGAAATGAAATCATATTAATTAACTCATTTAAGAGTAAGAATTAACTGGTAATTTAGAAAGCATGCGAGTTATGCGCAAGTCATTTGATGAATAAGCGATGCTTTGAAGAAGCCGCATTGTTGTTTAAACGTGCAAATAATACAGCCATGGCACTGCAGTGCTATCAGAGTGCTGAAAACTGGAAAGGGGTTATTGATTGTGGACAAATCATGGATATGGAGAGGAAAGTATTAAACGATTTACTCCAAAAGATGGTTCCACATTTTGAAAGCAAAGGGAAATTTACGGATGTCGCTGAAATATTATCATTCATTGATAAAAAGGTATGGCAAAACGATTCAATTGGCAATATTGCATAATGGTTCATTGTTGCTATGAATTGTAGTTTGATAAAGATTGATATAATTCGCGATTTTTGATATGTGAACAGCAATAGAAGTATAAAAGAAAATTTGTATTAGTATGAAAGGGAGGTCTCAAAGAATAGCAAGTTTTCTTTTTAGTCTAACAAGATGCAGATAGTGGAATATTACTGTAAGGCGGACGCTTGGGATTTTGCCATGAATCATGCTTTCAGGGATGAAGGTAATTTTTTATATTCCAAGGCTTATATATATATGTGGTAGGATGCTTGATATTGGCATTGTTATTTTTTGCAGAACTGACAAAAACTGTTGCTAAAGCAGCTTCCGTTCGTTATGAACAGATTTTACAAGGT